TAAGACAGCCTCTCAGTTTCTGCTCCTTTCTTAGGTTGAAAATGAAATGTTTTTGGCGGTAACGGATATCTGGTATCGCATTCATGGCAGTGGGACTTGGATCCCCGCCACGCACAGAGTGCGCTGCGACCGCTTGCTGCTGAACCACCGAACCGAACCCAATCTGTTGAAAGCAATCACAAGACCAAACAAAAGCATCCACCGGCCACGTTTCCATTGACTGGTCACTGTCGCCCAAAATTTGGGTCGGATCGGTGGTGAGTCACTGTACAGACTGTACTCACTCTCCTGCCCGCCGACAAACTGCGTTGCTTTCACCAGCTACGCCTGAGAGCTGTTGATGCTGGGAGCGGGTGCTTGATTGGCATGTTCTTTGCAGTGCTGCTCCCCCCCCAACCCCCCCCCCCCCCCCCCTCCCCCCCACCAGCCTGTGGTTTCTGGGAGTTCCCTTCCCAAGAGTGCGTCGTAGCCCCAAAAGATATGTCGATTTCCCAAATCTATGGGCAGGATAGCAAGTCGATTTTCTTGCTTTTCAAAATCTATGGTCTTCAGGAAGGAACATCACCCTAATAACGGCGTGCGTAATTGTAAAACAATGTTTTATTTCCAGTCACGGGTTCCCTGATCGCACAAGTTTCTCGCGACCGGGGAGTCAACTGGGAGCAGCCAGCCGACCAGTAGCAATCGCTACACCATTCCACCCCCCACCCGCCGCGCATGCCGTTTCTCTCCCCCTCCCCCCCCCCCCCCCCCTGATCGTCTTCTGTTCACCCGTAGTGTCCTCCTGACCAGCTAAGCCGCTGTGACAGACATGAGGGCGGGCCCAATTAGTTCATGCTCTATTCATTTCATGAAAAGTGACCCGAAGTTAGCCTCGTTTGGATTTCGCGAGGACACATGCCAGAAATAGCCGTAACTCTGGACGCTCGACGCATGTGAAGGTACATGTATCCCGTTTACGATTTGGGTGACGGTAGGTGTAAGTTTGGGGGTGGGTGGACACGTGTGGCGCTTTGGGGCTTCGCCAAGACGGGCTTGGCGAGAACAAGGCGACCTTGCGAACAGCTCGCGTGGCGCAACACCAAAATCGCACCTGCCACCCAACCCAGCACGAAACTTTGTTTCGCGGGAAGCGAGATTTGGTAACTGCGATTTGGGGCGTCAGAGGCGAACCGTTTTTTTTTTTGCCGCACCCAGTGGTGCCAGCTTCTATATACTGTATATATATTTTCATTCGCAATGCCAGACGCGGTTGGGGGGAAAAAGGATCTGGAGATCGTTTTCAGCTGTAGCTGAGTTCGAAAAGAAGTGTACGAAAACCCCAATTGAACCATTTGGACCCGCCCTGAGGCGATGCATCGCCCTGTGTTCAACCCCCCTGTTACTCCTGCTGCACACAGCCGCTGCGTCGCGTGCAAAACATCCGCCCTCCGCCAAGCCACCCTCTCCGACCATCCCCCCTCCTGCTCTGCTTGACCTTACGCCAAACCCCTTTCCCCTTTCCCCCATCCCCCAAACCTTTCCCATTACCGTGCTGCCCAACCGATCTGGTCGTACCTATTGATACCTAAACGAACCGATACAAAACAAGGTAAACCGATTTGAACCAAGTCCCTCCTTGGCTCACATCCACCCCGACTCCCTCCCACCACCCGATGTACCATTTCTCTCGCTTTCTTTCGCACACCGACCGACCTACAGTAAAACTTCACGCTCCTACTGCTTCAATCCACCGAACCGAGCATCGCCATAAAAGCCATGGAAATTCCGCAGATGAGCCGGGCTTCGTTTCCTCCCTACCATATCCCTCCCCTTCCCCATTTCGGTTTTACACTCCCCACTGTCGGCTTGTCCCGACTCGACTCGATTCTCTCAAACTTTCCAGCGGGTTTACCTCCCTCTTCTGTCCCACCAAACCTCAACGTGCGCTCCCCACTTCGCTGACACACACAGAAACGTTCTAGGCCTGTATGGTCGGTACAGTGGCAGCACTGGAATTATCCCTGGCAGGAACCGATTCTAGGTTTCTTCCATTGCGTTGTGTTGCGTTGCGAGCAACTATCCATCCCTCCAGTAGGCCCTACGGCACCTAGAGCACTCGTACTGTATTTCCGTTTTGAGGCGTCTTGAAATCCGCCTTTCGACTAGGTCGTATCTCTAGAGTAACTGTACTTCGACCTTTTTTCAGATTCCTGAAGGGGTCCTCCACCGTCCTTAGCCGCTGGACCAGTCATTTTCCACTTGTACCGTCATTGCAAGCCGAGCATCACGGAACCTTGTTGCTCCCTGGCTCTTTCGTTCGTTCGTGAGAGCACCCCGTGTATCACTGCTGTAGCTTTTGAGTCGACTCAAAAGTCACCTCTTCGGCTCTTTCTCTCGTTCGTTCGTTCATTCGCCAGAGCACCCCGTGAAGCACCGTCGTAGCTCTCGAGACGCGAGCACCAGCGTAATCCGCGAGCTAGGAAGCGGCATCCGTCCTAGTTACTTAGGTCCAAGTGCTACTGATCGTTAGTTGCTGTACCGAGGACGTCGTATAAGTCCAGGTCCGGACACCAGGAGAGGAGTCCATTACCAGCCAGGCATCGGATACTTGCATCCTTCAACACTCAAGGGCATATAACCAGGAGAGTTTTTTTTATTACGTACGTTTTTTCCGATCATCCATATAGGTTGGCTATGGCGAAGCGGCAAAGCCAATCCCTGCTATCTCATCTCCCAACCCCGCTTTCTCACGCTGACGACCGGTACCACGTCAGGGGGACATCCATGGCGTCCCGTGCCGTAGCCCCTTCTTCGGAAGCCTCGTCACGTAGCTTACCGCTCGATCGTGGGAATGCTGACCGACCGCTGAGTGGAGCATCGCCTGCTGCGTACGCATCACCCCTGCAGACACCTGTTCAAGACGCATCACCCCTGAGCACCGCACTCTCCGCTGGAGTCGCGGTCTCTGCAGATCCGGAGGGTTGCTGTCGATCGCGCATCGACTCTACAACTCTCCCTCGAGCCGAAGACCAGTTTGCAGCCTCGGGGCGGAGAGAGGGTGCGCGCACGGAGGGGCAGGATCAGGCGGGTATGGCGCAGAGAGATGGTGCGCGCGGGGTGCGGGGAGAGGGTTCGCGCATGGCCGGAGGAGAGGGTGCGTGCATGGCGCGGCAGGATAGGGCGGGGGTTATGGAGCGGAATGAAGAGGTGGGCATGGTCGTCGCAGGGGCCTGGAGCTGTGAGGCGGGCGAGGGCGCTGATGCGACGTCGTGCGATCGCGTCGCAGGGTCGTCGTGTCGCAGCCATGCGATCACCAGCCCCGCGTCGCAGCCCCGCCGCGTCGTCGCCCGGACGCGACGACCATTGACGCCGAGTACAGTCCTGCTGTCGCACGGCTTCGCCTGCAGCGTACTCGCTACGCTCTGCTTCGTTAACCTCATAGCGTGCGCCACCGCGCTGTCCGCTCAGGCGACAGCGAGCCCACCCGGGAGCTCCAATCAGCCGAACCTTCTGCCTACCTCCTGCTTCTTCGCGCTCCAGGTAACTGTCGCATAGTTACTCGAGGGAACCGTCGCAAGGTTATTCCAGGTAACTGTCGCATGGTTTCTCCCGTATGGTTACTTTCGAATACTAGGGCTTGCCCGCATAGGCTATGACGCGGTTCGCACGAGGCTAGGGCACGGTTCGCATGGGGCTAGGGCGCGGCTCGCACGAGGCTAGGGTGCGGTTCGCACGAGGTTAGCGGATGAGGGGGAGGAGCGCAGGAAGGGGTCGATTCAGTGGCGGGTAGAGTAAACCAACCAGGTGGCATTTGAGTCGGCGCAAGAGAGGAGGTAGAGTAGCCGGGGCGACGTTTGGGTCGACTCAAGCGTCACCTCGGGTGGAGAAACCGAGTAGCTAAACGGGAAGGAGGGATTGCCTGGGGTGGGAGGGTCAACGGGGGTCAACGGGGGTCAACGGGGGTAAACGGGGCGATGGGAGGAAGGAGATGTGCTTGGAAGGGATGGGTGTTAGTGACGCCGCGGAGTCGAGGCTACGAGGGAGATGTTTCGAAACGAAGTGGAGGTTGGAAGAGCATGGCCTTCAGGAGCAGGCAGGAAGAGAAAGAGGCCCCGAGGAGAGTTTAGCGGGGGGGATCGAATTCCCCCTTCCCCCCCCTTACTCTCTCTCCCTCTGCGACACCATCCCCTGTCTGCTTTCGCTCTTCTTCGCTTGCCACCCCAGGCGCGCGCCTGCGTGCTTGACAACTCCCTTGGCTTCGTGCCGCTCCACTTGCCCCTCCCCTCTCTCCCCTCTCGCCCCTCTCTCCCCTCTCCTGTCGGCACTCTGTCGTTCGCTTTCCGCGGTCCCTACATTCACCGTTCGCGCCTCATTCCTCCCGCTCTCCGTCCCCCATTCTCAGGCGTGCGACTTCGTGTTCGACAACTCGCTTGGCTTCGTGCCGCTCTACGCGCTCGCCTCCATGCAGCCCGACGTGCCGTTCACGCAGGGCATCCTGCACAGGTCAGTCGGTCGTGTAGTCAGCCGGTCAGTCCGTCAGTCAGTCCGTCAGTCCGTCAGTCAGTCCGTCAGTCCGTCAGTCAGTCCGTCAGTCAGTCCGTCAATCCGTCAGTCAGTCCGTCAGTCCGTCAGTCAGTCCGTCAGTCAGTCCGTCAGTCAGTCCGTCAGTCAGTCCGTCAGTCAGTCCGTCAGTCAGTCGTCAGTCAGTCCGTCAGTCAGTCCGTCAGTCAGTCCGTCAGTCAGTCGCTCTATTCGCTCGCCGCCATGCAGCCCAACGTGCCGTTCACGCATGGCATTCTGCACAGGTTAGTCGATTGCTACTCATCCAAATGGGTTGCAACCGACTGACCTGTGCAGGACAGGATAGGTCAGCCGGTTCCCACTTAATAGTTCTCAAGGGACCGAGCATGCTATTTCCTGGCCCAGCACCTGCTCTCCACTGGTCCTCTCTCCTTTCCCCCACCCATGGCCCCGGCAGCAAGCGAGCTTTGGCTGAGACGTCTCAAAGCTCAACACCTGTTCTGTGCCTGCCCGCTTCCCTTTGCCCCCCTTTGCTCCCCTTTCCTCCACCGATCGCCCTGACAGCAAGCGAGCGGCGCCGGCCATATCTGGGAAGCTGAAGCCGCAGTGCAAAGCCGTGAACGCGTGGAGGGTGAGAGCCCTTCTCCTGCTCTTTGCCGCCTCGCCAGCCCCTTTCTTGGTCCCATCCCCTCCTCTTCCCCACTCCTCCTCCTCCCCCTGGTTCGATGTTGATCCCTCTTGCCTGCCTGTCCACAGTCCAAGGCACTCAAGTGCCCACCGCTCACAGCTGTCCCTCCTTTCTCGATGTATCAACCGCTTTGCACGTTTCCCAGCCCTGATCTTACCTCCCCCTGGTTCGATCTTGATCCCTCTTGCCTCCCTGTCCACCGTCCAAGGCACTCAAGTGCTTTTTGAGTTGACTAGTAACTCTCTTAAACTCCAGTCGTCAACCTCCTCTCCTTGGTTCGATTTTGATCCCTTTTGTCTGCCTGTCTGCCTGTCCACAGTCCACAGTCCAAGTCACTCAAGCGTCTGCCGCTCACAGTGGTCCCTCCTCCTTGATGTATCAGCTGCCCTAACCTTCCCTCCTCCCCCCACACCCCCCCCCCCCCCCCCTCTCCCCTCCCTGGTTCGATTCTGATCCCTTTTGCCTGTCTGTCCACAGTCCAAGTCACTCAAGTGTCCGCAGCTCACAGTGGTCCCTCCTGCCAGCTCGGCGTTCCCGAGCATTCGCTTTGCTGCCAAGAAACCAGTCTCTGGGACACCTGTGAGTGGCACCTCTGTTTGCTGAACGCTGCTGTACCTGTGAGTGAGGCACTTGTGATCGTTGCTGCACTAGAGACTGCTGTAAATCCAACCACACGGCGAGTTGAGTCGGAGTGTGCCTCTGCAGTAGGTGTCTTTCTCAGCGCAACACGCTTTTTCCTATTTTTGTAACTCTCTACTTGTTGTTTTTGTTCCTCTCGTGCACTGTACCCTTCCCATCTAAGACTGCTTTCTTGTGCATCAATCACTTTCCTCTGCTTTCCTCTCTCGTGCTGCACGGTATGTCACACCTGTGTTCTCAACTTGGTGCTGTTCGTTTCATTTTCGATATATACCGGTATGCCCCCTCATGCAACCACAGGGCTACAGTGGAGCGTGCTTCACAATGAACTTCTCGCAACTAATTCTGAAGCTGGGGAGCGGACCAAAGGGAATTCTTAGGCTTACTTCAGGCGATGGCAATACACAGTTTCCCGAGGTAATAATGCGAAGAGGTGCCGTCCCAGCGACCTCAAAGCATGCCTTGTATTTTTCGCCCCTTTAGTCCTTGTTGCGCCCTCTATGCCTGTGTGTACAGTACACTGTTCGACTTGCATTATCTCTGCATCAGTGTGCCTTTCTCCTCTGGTCTTGTGGTGTTTGCAGAACCGGAGATGCATCGTCTTTAGGACACTATAGGCCTGCGGGCTGGAGCCCAGTGTGGTTGTACTCTGTAGAGATGAGGTGTAGTCAATCTTTTATGGTTGTACTTCGACAAGATAATGTATATATAAGACGCTTCCAATGCCTACTAGTGGCGTGGCCTCTATGATACGGCAATGACTGATTATGCCGGAAATTAATGTTTTAGTAATGTTGCTGTTGGAAATATCTCAAAGACTTGAGCGTTTCTGAAGTGTAAACACTACACTCGAGGAAAGTCATAACGGGTACTCGAGTCAACGGAAGTAACACGAAGGGGCGGACAAAGAACACGAATGGACACGAAGAGTCGCAACCGGAGGTTGCGACTGACCGTTACAACTGCAAGGATGGTAACTAAACTGGCAATCGAGTCGCTGTGCGACTCGAGAAACCGCTCCTTAAACTGTATTCTACAACTGCTTTACTTGCCTGCTTTCTATATATTGCTGTATGCTTGTTTCTTTTAATCAATCACTTGTTCTCATATACTAGTACAAGGATTCAACTACTCAACTTCCGCTGCACTACTCAAGTCTTTTACAACTGGGACTTAGTCTCAGGAAAGATCCCAAGGGCATTTCTCAGCCCAACATGGTATGAGAGATGGTCAGAGACCAAACTCCCAGCAACTACACTCTATCTGCAATCTGCAATTCAATGACTTCATTGATTACAAGTCATGGACAGCAAGGGCAAAAAAATCTCCACGGGCTCACCCAGCGCCCAAGACACTCAACCCGGAAACTCTGGATTGCACACTTCAGGACTGCAAATCGAGACCGGCGCTGCTCAAGAAACAACAGGAAGAGCACCAGAAATGGTGACCACATCACCCTCTTCAAGCGTGGATCCAAACCTTATGGAAAGGTTATTCAGCTTCATGTCGCACTTCGACCAGCAGCAGCAGACAAGGACACCTGCGCATTCAACACAGAGCAACGGAGGAAACATGGGATTGGCGCCGATGAGCCTCGACAACTCATCGTTCGGGCGACACAATCAAGCGCCTACCTTTGCGCCTTATCACTCTTCACCGGGGACGTTCGAGTTCATGCCGCCCCGTGCCCAACCAACAGCAGCTGCATCACAACAAACACCAAACGAGATTTTAAGTCTCCAGGCGCAGTTTTCGCACGTGATCAAACTGCAGACATCCTCACCGTTTAACGGACACGACTTCTTTACATGGAGCTTTGAGTTCGAGCTGCTGATGGAGGCTGCGCATCTCTTGGGATACTTCAACGGGTCCCTGCCATTCCCAAGCAACGGCACTGCGAAAGACCAAGAAATCTTTACGTATCAGTCGCTGCTGGCGTACACAGTCCTCCTGCGAAACCTGTCACCACAAGAGCAGCAAAGCATCAGAACGTATCGAAGCTATGGAAACTCCGCGGAACTCGCATGGCATCACCTCAAGTGTCTCTATCAAGCAAACGACAGCGTGACACAAAGCAGACTCATGCAGCAACTGACAACAATACAGATAAAGACCGGAGAAAAGGCGATGCAGTATATGAGTCGATGCCAGACACTCCGCGACCGCCTGCTTCGGTGCGGAGGAACAATCACTGAAGAAAGCTTCGTGACGCTTGTTCTCGCTGGGCTCGGGCCAGAATGAAGAACCACCCGTTCGCTCCTTCGCGCCCACGGACGAATCTCGGAGATGCACCTCTGCGCCGAGCTTCATGCTGAACAACAGGAGATGGACCTGTTTGAAGAAAGACAACCAAGAAAGCAGCAACCGTTAGTCTTCTACACTCAACGAAGGAACGACAACAACTACAATCGACGCGGGAAGCAAGAACAACGCGACAACAGAGGACTCACCATTGTGCCGCCGTTCTGCCACAACTGCCAAACATCCGGACACTCCAAAGTCAACTGCACACGTCCCCGAGCTTATCGTCCAATAGACCCACAAGTCGCTTCCACTCAAGAAAGCCCGCCAAGGCGCTCCTCCACATCTGCGCAAAGTACACCGAACATCATCATCTGCATGATACACATCGACAGCTGCACACCCGGATCACCACCCACTTATGCTCCAGACGAAGAAGAACTGCCGCCGCCGCGCTCTCAAGGACTTCAGGTCAACCCGACATACGCTGCAGTCGCCAACGCCGAACCCACCGGACGAAACACCTGGTTCTTGGATAGCTGCTGCGGTCAACACATGTGCTCCTCCGGGCGCTTCGTGCAGCGAGAACGACGCCTCAACCGCGATGTCATCATCACCATCGCCAACAACGAGAACCTGAAAACAAACAGAGAAGGAGTGGTTCAGTTACAGTCCATGGAAACAAACGTTATACTACAACTCAACAAAGTTCTCATCGTCGACAATCTGGGATACAACTTGCTCAGCGTCAGCAAGTTAATGGCAAAAGGGATTCACCTGGAGTGCGACTCGGACTCCAACGAATTTCGTCTTTACCACGGGAAGGGCGGTCTCTTCATCGGTCGAGCTCTCCTGAAGTCCGGCGTCTTCGTGTTGGACTTCGTCCCCGACCGCGGTACTGCCGACAGCGATGGCATCGTGTCGTTCGCAGCCTGGACGCACCCACCGGATCTTGACCCCGACTTCAACCCCGACGGATTCTGGTACTCCAACACCATACCTGCAGCAGAGAGAACACGGGCGTTAGCAGTCATCAGACAAGAAAGACAAGTACCAGCAAGCGTCCCTTCCCAACCATCACCTGCAGCAGCAGCAGCAGCAGCAGGACCCAGCCGAGTACCACCACCAACGATCCGAGGACCACCAACCGAAGCAGATCAACTTATGCCCATCACACGAGAAGTCTGCCGAAGTCCCGCCACGGTCGTCGCGTTCTTCTCCAACACCGACATATACCAATGCTCGCCCGGTCATCGCGCCTCCAAAGACATCTGGCACCAACGCCTTGGGCATCCTACAAATAGCACGGTACTACAAACCATCCAAGCCGAAGTGTTAGAACGAAACGCTCTCCTTACAACAAGCGGACAAGAACTTCGACGACCTCGCGCACGGTGCTTCACATGCCCCGAAGCAGACCTTCAGCACCAACCTTTTCCATCACATCACAATCCAAGCGCACCTGCATACGCACCGATGGAAAATGTTTACAGCGACATCTTAAACATGCCTCGAGACGACACTCAAGCCGACTTCAACTATGTCATAACGTTCATCGATGCAGCGACAAGATATGTTTGGCACTACAACCTCAAGACGAGAGACCAAGCCTTCGAAGCCTACAAGACGTGGCTTCCCATCGCTGAACGAGAATCAGGAACGAAGCTCAAAAGCTTCCAGTCAAACGGCGCACTAGAATACCAGTCACAACGCTTCAGGACCTACTTGGCGGAAAGAGGAATCAGACGCTTGGTGTCTCTGCCCTACGCTCACCAGCAGCAGGGGGTCGCAGAAAGAATGAACCGGACCTTGCAGACAATGATGCGGAAGATGCTCCTAGGGATGAGACTGCCCAACGCACTGTGGCCAGACGCGATGACCCATGCAGTCCACCTGCACAACCTGCTATCCTCGTCATCGCTTCCCAACAACGCATCACCGCACCTGCTGTGGACAAGAAAAAGGGGCAGCACAAAATTACTTCGGGTTTTCGGCTGCATGGTACAGTACAGACCCCACACAGCCAGAGCAGGACGCTTCACTCAACGAGCACGATGGGGACTACACCTCGGCATCGCCGAACATTTTCAAGCATGGAAAATCCTCGACATACAAGACAAAAATACCGTGGCATCACGTGATGTGATCTTCTACGAACGACTGACGCTGCAGCATTACCTGGACAACGTCGCCAACACAGACGACCCCACCGACGGTGTCGCAGGCCTTCGCTTCTTCGCTGACCGTGCTGCCGAGGCTGACGCAGCAGAAGAAGACGTACCTGGAGCTTCGGAAGCTGCCGGACCACTCCCTTTCTGTTCCGTACCTGTTCCACTCGACGAAGACAATCCTCTCGATAGCAACAACCTCGACACCCTCTACCACTTCGCTGACCAAGGTTACGCTACACCTCACCCGGTCGACACGAATATCTCAGAACGCATCGGCCCCAACTTCTTACCTGATCCAGAAGATGGTGACGAAGCAGCTTATTCCGGGAATGAAAATTCCCCTCGACACACACCCACGGGACTGCAAATCCTCGGCTTATGGGTCTCCGTCCAGCACCCGCCGTCGCCATCTCCGCGCGAGCCAACGACTCTGTCGCAGGCTCTGGGGGGGGAACACAAGGCGAAATGGAAGGAGGCAATGAAAAAGGAACTGAAAGCTTTGCAAGACCGAAATACATGGAAGCTGGTACCTGCAACGAACGTCAACGGGAAGAACGTTCTCTCGGGAAAATGGGTGTACCGCATCAAGACCAATGCGGATGGCTCCATCGAACGATTCAAAGCTCGCTGGGTCGTACGAGGCTTCGATCAACGATACGGAACCGACTACACAGAAACATTCGCCCCAGTCTCCCGTCACACCTCCTTGCGCATCCTACTCACCGTCGCGACCACGAAGAAACTACCACTGCGCCAAATCGACGTTGCAAATGCTTTCCTGTACGCACCTGTGGACACCGAGATCTTCGTCGAGCAGCCCCACGGATTCATCGACGACCCCACAAAAGTATGCCAGCTGATAAAATCCCTTTACGGGATCAAGCAAGCCCCGCGGCTTTGGCAGCAGCACCTTCACGGTCGCCTCGTTGGAATCGGATTCCTACAACTGCCGCACGACCAAGGCGTGTACCGACTACAGAAAGGAAGGGAATTCATCATACTCATCGTCTACGTCGATGACCTGCTCTACATCGGCTCCACTACTGACATCGCCACCTGGTTCGAAGGGGAGCTAAAAAGGGACTTGACACTCACGGTGTCAGACACCGTAACCCAGTACCTGGGTCTGAACGTCGTCGAAGACAACTCGGCGTTCTACTTATATGCTGGAACATACGCAGGCGTCGTCGCAAAGAAGTTCGGACTAACACCAACTACAGTCGCGACTCCCTACCGCTACGGGAACAACAACGACACCTCCGCAAAACTCCCCGCGAAGCAAATCCGGGAGTATCAGCAGAAGCTCGGCTGCCTACTATTCGCAGCAGTAACCTGCCGACCTGATCTATCCTACAGGGCAAGCTAGTTGGCGACGCACCTGAAGCAGCCGGAACAAGAAGATCTCGAAGAACTAAACCGGGCACTACTCTACTTCGTCTCTACGCCAACGACCAGACTTACCTACAGCAAAGTAACAACACAATCCGTACAACTACTCGGATACGTCGACGCCGACCACGCGGGAGATAGGGAAAATTGACGATCGAGAACGGGCTACATCTACCGAATAGAACCTATCGGGACTATCTCCTGGCAGTCGAGCAAACAGGAACTAATCGCACTATCTTCGGCTGAAGCAGAATATATCGCCCTCTGTACTGCAACCAAGGAAGGACTCTACCTGCGAGAGTTGCTCGAGGAAGCGAAGATTGCGACCCTGCCCGTCTTCTCACTCCTCTGCGACAACCAATCTGCGATCAAAATCGCGAACAAGGACGGCTTCGCCAACCGAACCAAGCACATTGCCCTGCGGTACTTTTTCGTCAAAGATGAAATCGCGAAAGGGAGACTTCAACTCAGTTACTGCCCTACAACAGAAATGGCCGCAGACTACCTGACGAAGAAACTGGCGAAGGCAAAGTTCGACTACTGCATGCTGCTGACCGGGCAGACAAACGTCACCGTATCTGAACACGTCAACACTCCAGAAACGAAGGGGAGTGTTGGAAATATCTCAAAGACTTGAGCGTTTCTGAAGTGTAAACATTACACTCGAGGAAAGTCATAACGGGTACGCGAGTCAACGGAAGTAACACGAAGGGGCGGACAAAGAACACGAATGGATACGAAGAGTCGCAACCGGAGGTTGCGACTGACCGTTACAGCTGCAAGGATGGTAACAGAACTGGCAATCGAGTCGCTGTACGACTCGAGAAAAAGCTCCTTAAACTGTATTCTACAACTGCTTTACTTGCCTGCTTTCTATATATACTTAGACTGTATGCTTGTTTCTTTTAATCAATCACTTGTTCTCATATACTAGTACAAGGATTCAACTACTCAACTTCCGCTGCACTACTCAAGTCTTTTACAACTGGGACTTAGTCTCTGGAAAGATCCCAAGGGCATTTCTCAGCCCAACAGTTGCAAACTTGTTTGTTAGATTTTGAAATACTTAATTTCTTGTCACACCTAGTTATATCAAATATTGAAATTCTTCCAGTTTTCCAGATTTCAAAAAAGTGTACTGGAGGATGACACTTGGCTGAACAGCAGTCCTGACAGCAGGTTCCCGCCACCCCAGACCTGCACAGGGATCATCTCGTTCCAACCAGAACCGAGGGGCGAACCCCAACCAACGGATTCCCCCCCAACGGATCCCGCCCCCCGCCCCTTCACCCCCAAACAGAGCCCCCCCCCCCCCCCCAACGGACTCCTCCGCCAGAGTTCACCCGCAGACTCCCTCGAAAACTCCCCCACAAGCTCCTCCGCAGACTCCCCGCAGGCTCCCCTCGCATCCACCACCCTGCTCCTCCTTCCCTCTCCCTCTCTTTCCCTCGCTTTATCTCTTCGTGCTGTCTCACCCCCTCTCTTGTTTCTGCCAGTCGTGCCTCCTCCCTCTCTTGTGTTTACGTCCTGGTGTTACATACTGTTGCTTTCGCTTCCGCCGTATCGTCCTCGTCATGCATTTTCTTTCCTTACAGTTGTGTCAGGTCCAATCCTCTGGTGATGTCGTTGTTTCGGTTTCGATAATAGAGACTCACAACGGGAAAATTGGTTGATTATCGTATGCATAAACTTCCTTATGTTTCCGTTTCTGCTACCCCCTCCCTTGTGCGTGGTTTAACGAAGGGTCACCAGATCCGGCTCAGGAATTTCCGTTAACGTCCCGTTTACGTCTCCGACCAGATAATGGATCCACGGTCCTTCCGTCTGCTGCCGCGCGTCGTCAATTCCAACCAGACAGCAAACGGCTCGGCAGGACCGTCTCCTAGTCCTAACGCCGTCAATTTCAACCAGACAGCCGGTGAGCCGTCAGAACCGCCGGCTAACGCCGTCAATTCTAACCAGGCAACCGACGAATCGTCTGAAGCGCCACCCGTGGCGGTCGGGTATCCCGCAGTATACTGTCGGCCTGCTACGCCAAGCTTCAACCCCCATGCTCAGGAGACACAGGGGGCGCATATCCAAAGGTCGCAATCGCAGGGAACTCATATCCAACGGTCGCAATCACAGGGCGCGCAGATGCAGAGATCAAGCGCTACTATCCCACCAGGATCCGGCCCTTCTCAGTCGGTGCCTCCCCAGGCGTTAACTCAACAGTCATTACTTCCAAAGCCGGTACCTGCAAAGTCGTTACTGCCTAAGCCGTTACCTCCGCAGTCGTTCCCGCCTCAATCTTTCCCCCCTCAATCCTTTCCTCCCCAACCTTTTCCTCCTCAGTATTCTCATCCCCAATCATTTCATCCTCCATATTATCCGCCTCAATATATTCAGCCTCAGTTTCTTCCCCCTCAATCCTTTCCTCCCCAGTATTACCCTCAACAGTCACTTCCTCATCCAGCCCACTTCTCCCCAACTCCCGTATCAGCTACAATAGCTTTTAACCACTCTGCACCGCATCCGTATCAATCCGCCGTCATGTCACACTTCCCGAACCAAACTCCGAGCCACCCGTATGGTCTGCATGCCGAACCTGGTGAACAGCCTCGGGCATCTGCTCTTGCTCAGCGAAATTCTTCGTCCCCTGCTCCTATACTTCCCAACCCCCCTGCTCCTCCGGTCACCTCTTATCCTCACCCCTCGCCTCAGTCACCTTGGCAAAATCCGGATAACTCATCTGGTTACCAGTTTAATTTGCAACCTCCTGCGGATGTTACGCCACATTCTTTTGCTGGCTCCAGCCTGCAGCCAATAAAATCCTCGTCTTCAGGAGCCGCCATAAGAACAGCACGAGCAGCAGCAGCAGCAGCAGCAGCATCAGCAGCCGTGGTATCACCACATGGTATACATGCTGCCGTCGCTGCTGGGCATGGAAGTGCTCCCGTGTCTCATTCGCCTGCCACTGCTGCCGTTTCTCATGCCGCGCCAAGCGCTGCTGCCGTTTCCTATGCTTCTGGCATGGCTTCTGGTCCTTATGCTCCTCCTCCTCCTTCTGCTGCTGCTGCTGCTGACGGCGGTTCCTCGCACGCAGCTTCCCTGTGTCTCGAGGCATGGCGGGAGCATGCGCACGAGAGAGGCGAGTATGCACATCAGAGGGGTGACTTTGCACAGCAGAGAAGCGAGCATGCGAATTCGAGTGGGGAAAATGGATACTTTGGGAACGCACCTGGGACGTATCCTGAGGCGGTTCATAACGCGTATCAGTTCCAGCAGAGGAGCATAGCCGGACGTGCGTTGGAGGCCTCCCCTGGGTCGGTTTCCCGCAGCCACCCTGCTCCGAACTTACCTCGGCCGGTTCTGGCTTGGTCCGGACGAGATTTGGATTGGGACGGCGGTTTGGATCGGCAGGGCGAGCCGAGGGCTCGGATTGTGCAGGCTTGGGATTGGGACGACGTGGAAGCGCGGGGGGCAAAGGCGGGGGAGAGAGAGAGGGAGATTGAGGCTTGGAGGGAGGGGCTGTGGCGTGGTGACGATGGGGATACGCCTGCTGTGAGAAGAAGAGGGCGTGGATTCAAAACGGGTGGTGGGAGGGGGGGAGAGGCGCGGAAGAGGGGAGAAGAGGAGAGGAAAGAGGAGAGGAAAGAGTAGGAGAGGAAAGAGGAGGAGGGTTTGGGGAGGAGGGAGGAAGAAGTGACCGAGGAAGAGGAAGAGAGGAAGGACAGGGAGGAGAGGGAGAGGAAATGCAGGGGGGAGTGTGTGCGAGAACAGCTGCAGTGGGATGCAGGGGGTTCGCTGCAGCGTCAGCAGCAGCGGATGCGGCAGCAGTAGCTGGCCCAGCAACGGCAGCAGCAGCAGGAGTGGCAGCGTCAGCAGCAGCAGGAGCGGCGGCTGCTGCAGCAGCAGAAGCAGCGATCGAGGCTGCAACAGCAAGCATAGCCGAAGGAGCAGCAGTGGGAGAGAAGAAAAAGAAGAGCCGTGGTAAAAGAGGTGGTGCCTCTAGGCGACAGCAGGCTGTGAAGGCTGAACCGGAAGAGGGGGAGAGTGTTGCTCGTTTGCCTGGCAACTTGTTACCACCTGGTAACATGTCGTCTGATAACGGTCGGCCTGGTAACAATTCGCATGAAGCGGTAGGGTTTGCTGACAGGGCTGTTGCAGCAAACGGTTTCGGAGGCAGTTTCGGGGGAAGGAGAGTTGTGAGCTATGGGGATATCGAGCCAGAAGCAGGGGAGGAGGCGCCTGGCGTGGCTCGTAACGGTTGGCCTGGTAACAGTTCGCCTGGTAACAGCTGGCGTGCCAACATTTCGCCTGGTAACGTCTTGGCTGAGCTGGTCCGCTTCCCTGGCAGGCCTGCTGCGGGTAACAACTTCCAGGGAAGGCGAGTCGTGAGCTATGGTGACGTGGGACCAGAGGAAAGGGAGGAGGCTGGTCTGCCACGTAACAGTCTGCCCAATAACACTCCGCCCTGGAACAGTTGGCCTGGTAACAGTTCGCCTGGCAACGTCTCGGCTGAACCGGGTCGCTTCCCTTGCAGGGCTGCTGCAGGTAACGGCTTTCAGGGAGGGAGAGTTGTGAGTTATGGGGATGTTGGACCAGCGGGAAGGGAGGAGTCTTCTGGCTTGCCTGGTAACATGTTTCCTGGTGCCATTTCGCCTGGTAACAGTTTGCCTGGTAACGTGCTTCTTGGTGCCATTTCGCCTGGTAACAGTTTGCCTGGTAACCTTTTTCCTGGCATCGCGTTGTCTGGAGCGGTGCAGGATTTTGGTAGGGCTGCTGGGGAACAGGGCTTGCAGGGACGGGTATGGGCAGCTGCGACGAGAGATGATCGGGATCCAATAATGGGCGGGGGAAGCAGGATCAATGCATTCTTGGGTCCGTCTTCAATGAACAGTATGCCCCCTCCGTCTCATGGTGCTACCCGCGCTGTTGCTGCCGCTTCTGCTGTTGCTGCTGCTGCTGGCGCTGCTGCTGGCGCTGCTGCTGCTGTTGATGCTGCTGGCAACGCGGTTGGTGCCACAGCTGGTGGCAGCAGGGCACATGCCGCCGCGCCATCACAGGCAGGCATTCCTCTTTCTGCCAGGTTGGACCCTGCGCCCCCACGTCGCCCCACGACCAGTATCTCTGGTTTTGAGGCGCCTCATGTACCATCACATGCTGCCAGCGTTCCAACAGCTGCTCTCGCAGACCCTGCACCCCCACGTCGCCCCACGACCAGTCTCTCCGCCCTGCTCCGGAGACTGCTGGGAGATGAAGCGGCTTCTAAAGGGGATGAAGCGGCTCCAAAGTCGACTCAGCAGTCAGTGGGAGATAAAGATGCGTCTGAGTTGACCCGCAAGTCAGTGGCAGGTGAATCAGCAGTGGCAAGGGCTCATCTGTCAGGGGCGAATGTAGCTGCGGCGGATTCGGCGCACAAGTTAGTGGCAGGTGGAGTGGCTTTTAAGTCAGCTCAGAAGTCGCCGGGAGATAAAGAGGTGGTGGAATTGGAGGAGGGGGAGGTTGAGGAGGAGGAGGGGGAGGTGGGGGAAGAGCTGGGTGAGGAGATTTGGAGGCGAGTGGAGGAGGAGAACGAGGCGAGGGGAGAGGGGAGGAGGGTGGGGAGGTGAGGGGGAGAGGGGAGGAGGGTGGGGAAGTGAGAAGGGAGGAGATTGCGAATGTGGAGGATGTGGTCAAGAAAAGTAGGGAGGCAGGGGAGGGAGCGAATGTGGCTCTTGAGCTGAACAGGAGAAGTGAGGGTGAGGGAATAACAGGACGGGAGGCGGCGGATAAGGGAAGAAGGCAGTTGCAAGAGGAGAGGAGAGAAAAGGGTAAGGCGCAAGACGAGGAGAGGGCCCGTGCTGGAGTGGGCCAAGGTCGCCCTGGCGAGGAGAGACCGAATCAGGCTGGTGAGGAGACGCCTCTTGGGGATAGGCCGAAGCAGAAGCAAGCTGGAGAGGAGACGCGAGAGGAGAAGAGATCAAGTGATAAAGGCCAAGGCGAGGAGAGGGCAAGTGGCCGATTGGCAGCAGCAGGGGCTGGCAGGGCGACGCAAGCTCAGGCTGCTGAGAAGGCGCTTCTTGGGAAGCAGGCGCAAGACGGGAAGCATGGGCCACGTGTGCAGCAGGAGCCACGTGGAGCAGGCTCTACTATGCAGGTTGGCGGCAGCAGAGGGGACAGAGCAGGGAGGAGCGGCAATGGAAGGGGAAGCGGAGGAGGGGATAGCAGGGGCAGCAGCAGCAGTAGAAGAAGGAGCAGCAGCAGACATGGTAGCAGGAGCAGAAGCAGGAGCAGAGGCAGAAGCAGAAGCAGAAGCAGCAGCAGGAGCAGAAGGATAAGTAGTAGCCAGAGAAGGAGCAGCAGCCAATCAAGCGACGGCCACCGAAGAAGCACGAGCAGGGGCGAGAGAGGCAAGAGTGTGAGGAGTGGGGAGAAAAGCGACGGAGACAGCCGAAGTAGTAGCAGCAGCCGCAGCAGCAGGAGCTTGTACAGCAGCAGAAGCAGCAGCAGGAGCAGCAGCAGAGGCAGAAACGACAGCAGAAGCAGCAGTAAAAGCAGCCGAAGCAAAAACAGGAGCAGAAGCCGTGATAGGAGTAGAAGTGAAGATAGGAGTAGAAGCAGTGAAAGAAGTAGAAGTATAAATAGAAGAAGTATAAATAGGACCACAGACAATGGTAGAAGCCGGAACAACGACAATAGCAGAAGCAAAGACAGGAGCAGAAGCAAAGACAGGAGCAGAAGCAAAGACAGGGGCAGAAGCAAAGACAGGAGCAGAAGCAAAGACAGGGGCAGAAGCAAAGACAGGAGCAGAAGTCAAGACAGGAGCAGAAGTAAAGACAGGAGCAGAAGCAGTGACAAGAGCAGAAGCAGTGAGAGGAGGAGAAGCAAGAGTGGAGGCAAGAGTAGAAGCGAGAGTAGCAGCAGCGGTACACACAGCAGGGGGAACAGGAGTAGCAGCCAAGGGGGAAGAGACAGGAACGTTAGGAAGAGTGATGTTAGCAGAAGCGATGCCAAGAGCGGAAGTAAGAGTAGAAGCGAGAGAGGGAGCAAGAGTGGGAGCGAGAGTAGGAGGGAGAGTGGAAGCGGGAGAGGGAACGAGAGTGGGAGCGAGAGTAGCAGCAGCCAAACACACAGGAGGGGGAGCAGGAGTATCAGCCAAGGGGAAAGAGGTAGAAACGTTAGGAAGAGTGATGTCAGCAGAAGCGATGCCAAGACCAGAAGTACGAGCCGTAGAGAGAGGGGGAGCGAGAGAGGGAGCGAGAGTGGGAGGGAGAGTAGGAGCGGGAGTAGGAGCGAGAGTAGGAGCGAGAGTAGTAGCAGCGGGACACACAGCAGGGGGAACAGGAATAGCAGCCAAGGGGGAAGGGGTAGGAGCGTTAGGAGGAGTGGTGCCAGAGGAAGAAGAAGCAGGAGCAAGGAGAAAGCTAGTACCAGCCAGATGGGCAAGAAAAATAGTACTGGCGACAGCAGTAGAAGCAGTAGCAGTAGCAGCAGGAGCAGGAGGAGGAAGAGCAGTAGAAGCAGCAGTAGTGAGAGCAGGGGTAAGGGTGCGGCTGCTATAAGTAGCAGGCACAGAAGCAGCAGCAGAAGTAGGAGCACGAGCAGGAGTAGCAGGGGCAGCAGGGGCAGCAGGGGCAGCAGGGGCAGCAGGGGCAGGAATAGGACAAGCGGGGGCAAGAATACAGGGAGCAGCAGCAGGAGCAGCAGCAGAAGCAGCAGCATGGGCGGCAGCAGGAGCAAGAAGGAGCTTACTCTGAGAAGGGGAGAAGCATTGGAGCTTCCACTTGTCGAGTCGTATGGCAAGGCTGGACTGGGAGGGGCTTCAGGGGAGGAGAGGGAGGTGGGGAGCAGCAGGAGGGAGGAAAAGGGAGCGAGAATTCAAGGTGCTGAGGGGAAGGGAAGTGACAAGGCGACTGCTGAAGCTGTTTCTCTGGTGTGTCCTGCTGCTGCTGCCGGTGCCGGTGCCGGTGCCGGTGCCGGTGCCGGTGCTGGTGCTGGTGCTGGTGCTGGTGCTGGTGTTGGTGCTGATGCTGCTGTTGCTGCTGATGGTGGTGCTGCTGGTGCTGTTGGTGCTGCTGCTGGTGCTGGTGCTGCTGGTGCTGGTGCTGCTGGTGCTGGTGCTGCTGGTGCTGGCGCTGCTGCTGATGGTGCTGCTGCTGATGGTGCTGCTGCTGATGGTGCAGCTGCTTCGTGCGTTCCTGCTCCCGCCGATGTTGCTCCGTCTGCTGCCACTTCAGAGCATCAATTCGCTACAGGGATCGCTAACCTGGCTGCCAGGGGCACAGTGGTTGCTGCCACGGGCACAGTGGTTGCTGCCACGGACACACTGGTTGCTAACCCTGCGACCACTGGCGCAGATGCTTATGCGTCTCCTGCCTCTACTGCCAAGCATGCCCCTGGTGCTCCCAGTATTCAGCCTCATTCTGACACTTTCGTAGCGCCAGAGTCTTCGCTACAGCCAGAGACTGTGCAGGCTGAAAGGCAATTGCAGCCCGACAATCTGCTACAGCCAGAGAGTCTGCCACACCCTGCTTCTTTTGAACCCGTAGAGTCCACAGCTCCCCTGAAGCCATCAGCTCAGCAGAAGAAGCCTGTCGCCTTTAAGCTCACCTCTTTCAAGAAGGCGGCTGGTAAGGAAGGGGGGAAGAGGGCGGGACTGGCAGGGAGCTGTTTGGAAAATGCAGGGCTTTCGAAAGGGCTCGAGGGGTTGTTTGACGTGCGCAAACCGCCTCAACCGTCCAAGCCACAACCTGCTGCTGCTGCTGCTGCTGCAGCTGCTGCTATTGCCGTGGGCGGTGGTGCTGGTGCTGCTGGTATTGCTGGTGGTGCTGGTGATGCCATTGGTGCTGGTGCTAGTGGTGGTGGTGCTGCTGGTGATGGTGCTGGGGATGGTGCTGCTGGTGATGCCACGGGTGGGGCTAAACGAAGATCCAGGTGGTCCTCTATCCCCCCTGCTGCCGCTGCTGTGCCTGCCGCCGCTACTGCTGCTGCGATTGCTGCTGCTGCTTCCGTGACCCCTCCTGCAACCGCTGCTCCTGCTGCCGCCGCTGCCACTGCTGCTGCTGCTGCTGCTACTGTTCCTGATGCCTTGGGTGCTGCTGCACAGAACATCGCAATGGCTCCTGCACTCGACACTTCACCCACAGCTGCGCCCGAGCTAGCACCTGCTGCAGTTGCACCTGTTCCCATGCATGAATCACACCTGGCGTTTGTTCCCCCCTCTGTCATCCGGAGAACTCAAGGCAAGAGTGCAGAGGTCAAGGGGACCCTGCAAGGGACTAAGCAAGTCACTCAGCAAGGAGCCAAGCAGGTCCATCCAGCAGCAGACGCTAGCCAGGGCGACGCTGGAGTGGTTGAGGGGGCCAAGCAAAGGACGGCAGCAGCAGATGTTAGAAGGGGCGAAACTGGATTGGTTGAGGGGGTCAAGCAAAGGAAGGCAGCAGCAGATGTTAGCGGGGGCGAAACTGGATTGGTTGAGGGGGTCAAGCAAGGGACGGCAGCAGCAGACGCTAGCCAGGGCGCCACTGGAGTGGTTGAGGGGGCCGAGCAAGGGACAGCAGCAGCAGATGTTAGCCGGGGCGAAACTGGATTGGTTACGGGAGCCACGCAAGGGACAGCAGCAGCACACGCTAACCAGGGAGTTACTGCTGGGGCTGATGGGACCAACCAAGGGGTGGCAGCAGCAGGTACGGATCTGGGTGAGACTCGTGTGGTTAAGGGAGTCAAGCAAGGGGCGGCAGCAGTAGATGCGGATCAGGGTGGAATCGGATTGGTTGAGGGGCCTAACCATGGGACGGCAGCAGCAGTTACGAGTCAGCACATATCTGTAGCAGCAGAGGCGAGTCAACACGGATCTGTAGCAACAGAGGTGAGTCAACAGAAGTCAGCAATGGTCAATGCAGGAGAGGGGAGTCGACACAAGACTATAACGTTCAGGGGACTCGACTCAAGATCGTGGCACCAAAGGAAACTGCAGGGGGAAAAGCATTGGACGGTGGCGATAAGGGTGGTGGTGATGGTGGCAAAAGAATTCGTGGGGTTGGGGGGGGCAATAAGAGGGGGGGTGATGAGGATTTCGGGTTTGGTGGGAGGCAAGACTTCGAATCTGGTGGCAGTATGAAGGCTAAAGTTGGTGGGAAGAAGATGGGTGGTGGTGATAGTAGAGAGAGGATCATGGCTGGGAACAAGAGAGATGGTGGTGACAGTATAGAGAGGGTCATTGTTGGTAGCAAGAAGGTGGGAGGTGACAGTATCGAGAGGGTCATGCACCAAGCGCGGCTGCACGTGAGGCCACGGTCTACCAGAGTCACACGCAGACTGGCTCTTTCACAGTCCCCAGAGGGAGGCTTCCAGGAGCAGCAGCAGGAGCAGCAGGAGCAGGAGGAGCAGGAGGAGCAGGAGGGGCAGGGGCAGGGGCAGCAGGAGCAGCAGGAGCGGGAGGGGGAGCAGGAGCAGATGCAGGAGCAGCGGTTCTTGGGGAATCAGGGCAGTGAATCACCACAGACATTCCATTCGTTTGAGTCTCACCTGCTAGAGTCACAGCCGTTAGAGTCGCAAGTTGACGCAGGTGCTTTTAGTGGCTCGCCAGCCCCGTCCCTGCTCCAAGTGCTGGCCGTTGCTGCTGCCGCGAGCCAAAGGGCTGATGGGGGAAGTGGCAGGGGCAGTGGCAGTAGGCGGATGGGGGGGGGCATGTGGGAGGGTGAGGCAGGATTAGGTGAGGCAGGAACGGGTGAGGCAGAAAACAACGAGGCAGGAATGAATAAGGCACCACCATTGGAGGACTCCTTTGAACCAGAGGTGCTGTCACAGGAGTCCCCCATGCTGGCATTGCTCTCCCTGGCGAGCCTAGCTCACACAGCCAGTAGTACCCCCTCCGGGCCTGCATTCCCTTCCGGACCTACACCTCCTCCGAAGCTTGCTCCCATTTCGGAATCCGCACCTCCTGCCAAGCCTGCGCCTGAGCCTGGTCCTCAATCCGCGCCCGAGCCTGGTCCTCGTCAGTCATCTCCCGGACGTGTTGCAAGGCGCTCTTTGCTGTTTGCGGAGCCTCGGGGTGAGCAAGAGCAGCAGTCGGCTGATCAGCAAGCCTTGCACTGCCAGCCAACCTCTGCCTCTGAGACGGATTCGTCTTTTGCTGCTGAGAAGCACTCGGCTTCTGCTGCTGACATGCATTTAGCTTCAGCGCATGCAGTTGGGGAGCAGCCGCCAGCTTTGGAAGCTGAGCCGCAGCAGTTCGCAAGGGGAGATAGGGGCGCTTATATCTCGGAGGAGGACAGGGGCGCTGGAAGTACAGAGGAGGAGGAGGAAGAGGAGAGGCAGTTTGAAAACCCATGGGATATAATCCTGGACGTGCATGCATCATCAGGGTCAGACTCCGACATTGGGGAAGACGCAGAAAAGGGGCCTGGGGGAGTGGTGTCTGGGGTGTTGAAAGGCCTACCTGTGCTGCAGGGCGTGTTCAAGCTGTCGAAAGAAGAGATTGCGTCTTTTGAGGCGACGCCGAAGAAAGAGGGGGGGGGTGATGGGATTGCTGGGAAAGGGGGTGCTGATGCTGGTGCAGATGGTGCCGGTGCTAGTGCTGATGCTGATGCTGGTGCTGATGGTGCTGCTGCTGGTGCTGTTGCTGTTGCTGCTGCTGATGCTGCTGCTGCTGCTGCTGATGCTGACGCTGATCCTTGGAGCCTGGATGTACTGCCATGTGGAGCTGACGTGGCTGGACCAGCTGGCGTCGTTGCAGGTGTGCCTGACTTGGCAGAAAGTGGACTGGGAGGTCAAGGGAGCGATTTCACTAGAGGTAGAAGCAAAGAGGGAGGAGAGGCTCAGGGAAGTAGAGGAGTGAATATTGGACGGGGTGATGCTGCTAAAGGAATTTGGAGGGATGGAGGTATGGCAAGGGAAGGTGGAGGGTTGGGGGGGGGGGAGTGGGCGCAGCAGCAGTGAAAGCAGGTGCAAGGCGGGAAAGTTCTAGTGGCGAGAGTGCGAGTGAGGAGATTTATATTGGGGAAAGCTCTAAGGGTGATGATTCAAGCGAAGGAGGTTCCACTAGTGGGGGGGATTCCCCCATCAGCATTGCTAGTGACTCAACTGACACGTCTGCTGAAGCTGTTGCTGCTGCTGGTGAGGAAGGTTTAACTGGTGATGAAGGTTTAACTGGGGAGGGTACAAGTGGTGGAGGTAGGAGTAATGAAGAGTCACCCATTATCGTTGCAAGTGGTGCAGCTGTAGCAAGGGCTGAACCTGTTGCTGCCGGTGCTGATGTGGATTTTTTCACATCGGAAAAGGGACAAGACAGCAGCAGCAGCAATGTTGTCGCGCCACCTGGCGTGCTCCCATTGGTGCCCAAGGAACAGCCAAGTCTGTTGACGTACTCCAGGAAAAAGGCAGGGGTTGGTTCAACTGCAAGTCAAGAAGGGGTTGGTGCTGATGCGAGATTGGCAGGGGGAGATGCAGGGGTGAGAACAGGAGGGGGCAGTGCACCTGCAGCAGCAATTGGGACAGGCGCACCTGGGACAGGTGTATCTGCAACAGTGGGGAAAACAGGTGTGCCTGCAGCAGCAGGAATGGCAGGTGCAACGGCAGCTGCGGGTGTAGCCAGGGGAGGTGTATCTGGTGCAGGAGGGGCAGGAGGCGTACGTAGGGCAGGTGTATCTGCCTCTGCAGCCCAGATCGTTCGCAGTCCATTGGCAGCGCGGAGAGGAGGGATGGTTGTGGGGGGTAGGGGACGAGGGATGGTTGTTGGGGAGAGGGGCCGAGGGGTGGTGATGGGAGGTGGTGTGTCGTTTTCAGGGAGAGGAAGGGGGGTGGTGAGTGGGAGGACAGGGGTAGGAGGGAGAGCTGGGGCGAGGGGCAGAGGGGCCCTTGTGTGGAACCGAAACTCTGCTGCTGCTGCAGGTGCTGGTGGTGCTGGTGGTGCTGCTGGTGGTGGTGGTAGTGCTGCTGCTGCTGCTGCTGCTGCTGCTGCAGGTACTCCTGCCTCTGCTACTGCTTCGCCGGCGGCAGGTGCATTCAAGATGCCTGCACTCCCTGCTGCTAGCAAAAGGTTCACATATACTGCTGCTACAGCCGGGAAGCTTACATCTGTAGCCGCTACAGCTGGGAGATCCACGACTGCTCCTGTAGTAGCCACAACTGGAAAGACTATATCTGTAAACACCATTGCTGGGAAGTCCACGATGGTAGCACCTGCGACAGCAGGGAAGGTCACTGTAGCGGCTGCTACAGCCGAGCATACAGGCATATCCCTGGCTCGCCCTAAGCTGGTTGTTAGGCGGCTTGTGCCTGGCAAGGCCAGTAAAGGCGCTGCTGCTGCTGCTGGTGCTTCTGGTGCTGCAGTTGCTGCTGGTGCTGGTGCTGGTGGTGCTTCTGGTGCTGCGGCTGCTGCTAGTGCTGGTGCTGGTGCTGCGGCTGGTGCTGCTGGCGCGTCTAAGGCTGCTACTGCTAGTTCTGCCCCTGCAGACGAGAATCCATCGCCTCTCCCCTTGACTCCAGAGAAGGCGCCATCTCTTCCCCCCTCAACCCCCAAAAAGGCCTCCCCCTTCACCACTGTGACCTCTTTGGCCTTTGTCTCCCGCCGCTCCACTGCCGCATCCATTGCTGCGTCTGTTGGTGCAGCGGCTTTTAACCGAAGGTAAGCATACGGCTTTTATCTTCTGTTTAAAGGCTTCTTCCTTCACCACTGTCACCGCTTCGGCCTTTGTCTCCCGCCGCTCCACGCCTGCATCCCTTGCTGCGTCTGTTGGCGCAGCGGCTTTTAACCGAAGGTAAGCAAAGTCCCTTTGCTGCCGGCTGCCGGAACGTCATCGCTGTCGCTGCTGCGATGTAGCTGCTTTCAATTCAATACAGATTCTGCACTGTATGCATGCCAACTCCGTCATCCATTGCTTCTGGTGCAGCGAATTGTACCAATGCTTCTGTAACAGTACAACAGCACTGGTGCAGGCGTACAGCAAGTATCCGTTGCCTCCTTTTCCTCTGTTTGTGGAGTTCTTCCAGCAGCCCCTTCCCAATCCCCCCCCCCCCCTGCTCCCCTCTCCCCTTCCCCTCTCCCAGGTTCGTGGCACAGCAGCTCTACACGTGCCCCTCCTCAGGCTTCTCGTTTCAGCGCCCAGGGCGTCCCCGAACCTTCATTTCCCCTCGTTCCAAACTGTCTCTTACCTCTCTCTCCCCTCCCCCAGGTTCGTGGCACAGCAGCTCTACACTCGCTCCTCCTCCGGCTTCTCGCTTCGGCGTTCAGGTGCTTACGCACTCTTACTTTGTCTCACTGTCACGCCTTTCAAAGGAACTTCAATCACCCTCCTCGGGTGCTTACACTCCCCTCTCCTTCTCTCACTGTCACATCTGTTTAAGGCACCTCAAACACCCTCAGCTAAGTACAGTCTCTCGCTTTCTTTCCATGTCGTTTTCTTATTCCTACTGCCGCTCCTCTCTCGTTGCACTGCCCCCTGTTCAGGTGTGCGGGCTGCACGCGGGACAAACAGCTTGCAGTGGAGCAAGGAGAAGCAGGAGCAGGAGAAGAAAGCAAGAGAGGTGAGGGAATTTTTCTGAGAAATGAATTCAATCAATGTATTATACGACAGCGTAATTTTTTAACCTTGAGCAGAAGCCTTCAAAAGGCAGCGGCAGTGCAACGAGACAATGGAGAAAGGAAAGAAGGCGATTGCCAGGAGCCATTTCTCTCTTCTCTTCTACTCCTATTGTTCTTTCCGTCCTACCCCCCAGGACGCTACCAAGGCGGCAGCAGAAGCTTCTAGGCAGCAGCGGCAGCGCAACGAGGCAGTGGAGAAAGCAAAGAGGCCGATTGCCTCATCTCTCTTCCTCTCTCTTCTACTGCTACCCCCTCAGGACGCCACTAGGGCAGCAGCAGAAGCGTCCAAGAGGCAGCGGCAGCGCGACGAGGCAGTGGAGAAAGCAAAGAAGGCGATAGCAAGGAGCCAGGCGGAGCAACGGGCAAAGAGACGGGCGGAGAGAGAGAAAGTGCGGGCAGAGAGCACGAAGATTAAAGCTGCCCGGATAGCTGCCAGGGTGGCGGCTAAGAAAGCTGGTGCTGCTATTCTTGCAGCGAGAAGGCAGCAGAGTGAGTGATTGTAACGGATGTGATTGTGTGTGATCGGTTGGTTCTGCCAGCATAGCTGTGAGATTAGGTCACAGAGGGTGCTGCTATTGTTGCGGAGCGCATGAGTTGCACATGTAAAGGCGGCCACTCAAAAAGCTGGGTGCTACTATTCTTGCAGCGAGGAGACAGCAGAGGGAGTGACTATAGCAGTTGTGATTGTGCAGATACATGCTGCTGTGCTGATACCTGTAACCTCAGAGGGTTTGTTACTGATGATGCGTGCATGTATTGCCTAGCATCCAAGGGAGGGTCGCTCTCTTGTGCATTCGTCACACTGCTGCCCTCTGTTATCACTGCTTCTTCCCTGCTCCCTCGCTGCTTCCTCCCTACTCCCTCACTTCTCCCTCCCTACTCCCTCACTTCTCCCTCCCTGCTCCTCCACTTCTCCCTCCCTTCTCCCTCCCTGCACCACCCCTCCTTTTGTCTCTCCACCCCTCCAGCCACGGTTTTTCAAGGGTCCTCTGTGTACCGCCTGGCAGCCAAGGGGCGCTCCCTTGTGCGCCTCAGCAGTGAGTAGAGGAGTTTCGCGAGCTAAGGGGGTTTGGGACCTGAGGATTTGAGGGGGGCGGATGGGTTTGGGGGGTGAGGGGTTGGGGGCCAAGGGTCTGAGGTTTAAGTGTATGGAGATTAGCGTTCGGGGGCTGACATTCGACGCACGGTTTATATCGTGCACCTGATATTCTTTATTGCCCTTGCGTTCTTCGTTTTCTCTTCCCAGTAGGCGGGTCAGCCAAGGACAAGTCGCCACGTGGCAAGGCACACCTGCCCGCTCCTCTCACGGCTGCTCTTGCTGCCAGCAGTTATCGGCGTGTGGGCAGCCGAGGAAACAAGCTGGTGCGGGATGCCAAGGCCGCCATGCGAACTGCTGCAGGGTGAGTGAGCTTCGCAGGTTGGGACTCGTCTGGAAAAATCACTCGATGCATCCACAGTAAGCAGCCAGCCAGCTAGAGAAAAATCACTCGATGCATCCACAGTAAGCAGCCAGCCAGCTAGAGAAAAATCACTCGATGCATCCACAGTAAGCAGCCAGCCAGCTAGAGAAAAATCACTCGATGCATCCACAGTAAGCAGCCAGCCAGCTAGAGAAAAATCACTCGATGCATCCACAGTAAGCAGCCAGCCATCTAGAGAAAAATCACTCGATGCATCCACAGTAAGCAGCCAGCCAGCTAGAGAAAAATCACTCGATGCACTCAATGCAAAGGCTGCTGTGCGAATCGCTGCAGGGCGAGTGAGTTTCGCAGGTGACTAGGCCGGCTCTAGAATGCACTTGATGCTGCACGCACAGTGGGCTGGGCAGGCAGGACAACAAGCTGGGGCGAATGTTGCTGTGCGAGTCGCTGCAGGGTGAGGTGAGCCAACACCTAGTTGGGCTTTAATAGACGGCTGCAGGGCGAGGCGAGTCAACACTTAGTTGGACTTAAAAAAGACAGCTGCTGGGTGAGGGGCTGCAGCGGCTGTGCCAGTAATTAGTGCAGCTGGGCACAGAGCTCGAGTGCGTGACAGCTTGCACAATGCTCGGTACAGCCGGCAGAGGCAGGGTGAGGGGCGGCAGCAGCTGTGCCAGTACTTGGTGCAGCTGGGCGGGCAGCTGCAGTGAGAAATGACTCCCCCCCCTCCCCCCCTTTCCCTTCCGAGATGACTTTGAGTCGACTCAGAAGTCACCTCAGCAGCAGCTGTGCCAGTTCTTAGTGCAGCTGGGCGGGCAGCTGCAGCAACAACTGGCACAGCTGCTGCTGAGGTGACTCTGCAGCAACAAGGACTTCGCAAGGACTCTTCCCCCCTCTCTCCCTCCACCTTCCCTTCCAACCTCTTCCCTCAATCTCAGGGCTCGAGTGTGCTACAGCCTTCAAAACGCACGCTACAGGCGGCAAAAGCAGCAGCAGCAGCAGGAGCAGCAGCTGTGCCAGTACTTGACGAGGCTGGGGCAGTGCAACAAGAATGACTCCCTCCCTCATCGCCCTTCCCCCTTTCTTCCCTTTCTTCCCTTTCTTCCGTTTTCTTTCCTTGACCATCAGGGCTCGAGTCCGCTACAGCCTTCAAAACGCACGCTACAGGCGGCAAAAGCAGCAGCAGCAGCTGTGCCAGTACTTCACGCGGCTGGGGCAGTGCAACAAGAAAGACTGCCGGTTTCTGCACGACCCGAGCAAAGTGGCGCTGTGTGTGCGGTTTATAAGGGGGATGGAGTGCGACGAATCCAGATGCAAGTTAACGCACAAGGTAAGGGAATGGTTCAGCTGCTTTGTGTGCGAGACCAGTGCAGAGTGGTGCTGTGTGTGCTGCTTGTAAGGGGGATGGATGGAGTGTGACGAAACCAGATGCAAGTTTACGCACAAGGCGGGAAAACCGTGGGAGTGTAGGGGTTGCAGAAGGGTGGGTGTGTGGGGTGCTGGTGTGTGTGGTTTATAAGGGGGATGGAGTGCAACGAATCCAGATGCAAGCTCACGCACAAGGCGGGGAGACCGTGAGAGCGTAGGGGTGGGGAAGGGTGGGTGGGTGTGTGGGCATGTGGATGTGGCTGGGGCAGTCAAGCATGCACTTTGAGATGGTTTGTCAACGGTGTTCCTGAAGGAAATAGCTTGGAAGAGAAAATATTGAATTGAGTAGGGAGCCAAGAGGCTCTTTTGTACAAAACAAGGAGCAAGGAAGAGTTGGAAGGGAAGCTCTCCTATTGGCCATAAAGTGGACCAATGGGAGAGGTTGCTTGTTGTAGGGCAAGCAACCACAAAGTGTTGTGCTCTCCGATTGGCCACAATGTGGACCAATGAGAGAGATTGCTTGGAAGGCAAGCAACCACAAAGTGTGGTGCTTGGTGATTGGTTGGTTCTTAGGACCAAGGACCATTTGGTTGGAATAGTGCCAACCAAATGTCTAGGACCAAATCCAATCTTGACCAACCCAAATGTGGGGTTGGTCAACCAAACCAACAACCCCCCAATAATTATAATGACTACACCTCCTAATCTAGGCATGCATGTTGTATAGATATATATTTTACAACAGTTCCTTCGTCCTTACTTTTTCTCCGTACTCCCACTCACCCCTAAACGCCACTTTCTCCCGATTGCAGATCATTCCAGAGCGCATGCCTGACTGCACTTTCTTTGCCAAGGGTAAGAGCCCATCCTCCTCTCTGTATCTTGCTCATGTCTCTGATTTGCCCTCCCGCACCCTCTCCCTCCCCCACTCGCTCACTCCCTCACTTGCTCCCTCCCCCACTCGCTTCCTCCTCATGACCCCCTCCTCCTCGCTACCTCCCCCCCTCTCGTCCAAATCTTTTCTAGCTTCGCTCTTCTCCTATCACCCATTGCCCCCCTCTTCCGGGTTCATGCACCAACAAGCTGTGCTTGTATCGCCATGTGAAGCTACCAGCAGGCTCCCCCATCTGCTCTGCCTTCTCGTGTGAGGAGTCTTATTTTGAGGCGCCTAAAAAATGGACTCCATCTGCTCTGCCTTCTCGTGTGAGGAGTCTATTTTTTAGGCGCCTAAAAAATGGACTCCATCTGCTCTGCCTTCTCGTGTGAGGAGTCTATTTTTGAGGCGCCTCAAAAATGGACTCCATCTGCTCTGCCTTCTCGTGTGAGGAGTCTATTTTTGAGGCGCCTCAAAAATGGACTCCATCTGCCCTGCCTTCTCATGTGAGGAGTCTATTTTTGAGGTGCCTAAAAAATAGACTCCATCTGCTCTGCCTTCTCATGTGAGGAGTCTATTTTTGAGGCGCCTCAAAAATGGACTCCATCTGCTCTGCCTTCTCGTGTGAGGAGTCTATCTTTGAGGTGCCTAAAAAATGGACTCCATCTGCTCTGCCTTCTCGTGTGAGGAGTCGATTTTTGAGGTGCCTAAAAAATAGACTCCATCTGCTCGGCCTTCTCATGTGAGGAGTCTATTTTTGAGGCGCCTCAAAAATGGACTCCATCTGCTCTGCCTTCTCGTGTGAGGAGTCTATTTTTGAGGCGCCTCAAAAATAGACTCCATCTGCTCTGCCTTCTCGTGTCTCGCTCACTCTCTTTCTCCTATCATCTTTCGCCCCCCCACCAGGCAGGCACTTGCACCAACAAGCCGTGCCTGTATCACCACGTGAAGCTATCAGCAGGTGCCGCTGTGTGCCATGGCTTTTAACCTACCTCTTACCGCTTATGCCTTGGCTCTCTCACCCCCCCACCAGGCACTTGCACCAACAAGCTTTGCTTTCCTGTATCGCCACATGAAGGTTGCTCCAGACGCGCCTGTGTGCTCTGCGGTACCCTCCTTTCCCACTCAAAGCTTCTCTTCTGTCATTTGCCTTCCTTACAGGCACTTGCACCAACAAGCATTGCTTGTATCGCCATGTGAAGCTACCAGCTGGTATCCCCGTCTGCTCTGCCTTCCTTAAAGGTTACTGCGAGAAGGGGCCCGCATGCACGCAGCAGCACACCTACGAGTGTCCCGAGTATGCTTTTAAAGGGGATTGCGCTGCTGGCAAGAGCTGCAGGCTGTGGCACCGTAGGAAGGCAGAAGAGGGGAGTGCGAAGGAGGGGTTGAGGAAGAGGAAGAAACGGTACTGGGAAGAGGAGGAGGACGAGGAGGAGGAGGAGGAGGAGGAGGAGTGGGGGGAGGAGGAGAGGGGAGGCAAGAAGAAAAGGGCAAGGCGGGAGAGGGAGGAGAGTGAGGGGAGTGAGGGGAGTGAGGAGGAGGGGACGGGGGAGAAACGAGGGAGCAGGAGGAAGAAGGACGGAAAGAAAAAGAAGGGCGGGAAGGGCAGAGGCAGGAACGTTCTGAAGTTCTTTGGAGGGGATAGTGAGGAGGAGAGTGAGAAGGAGAGTGAGGAGGTGAAAGAAGGGGAAAGGGAGGAGGAGAGTGAGGGGGAGAGTGAGAAGGAAAAAGAAGTGGAAAGTGGGGAGAGTGAGGAGAGTGAGAAGGAGAGTGAGAGGGAGAGTGACGAGGATTATGAGGTGGAGAGTGAGGAGGAAGGGGAGGATGGGAGCGAGGAGGAGAGAGAGGAGGGGAGTGAGGAGGATAGAGAAGAGAGCGAGGAGGAAGAAGAGAAGAGGAAGGGTGGGAAGCGCAAAGGGAAGAATATTCTAAAGCTCTTTAATGGGGATAGTGAGGAGGAGGGTGGAGAGGAGAGAGAAGAGGAGGATGAGGAGAGAGAGGAGGAGGAAAGGGAAGAAGAGGGCGAGGAGGAAGTAAAGAAAAGAAAGGTTGGGAAGCGCAGAGGGAAAGGTGTTCTGAAGCTCTTTAATGGGGATAGTGAGGAGGAGAGCGGGGAGGAGAGAGAAGAGAAGCATGAGGAGGGGCAAGAGGAGAATGAGGAGGAGAGAGAAGAGGAGAATGGGGAGGAGAGAGAAAAGAAGAATGGGGAGGAGCAAGAAGAGGCGGTTGAGGAGGAAGAAAAGAAGAGAAAGGGTGGTAAGCGCCGAGGGAAAAGTATTCTGAAGTTAGTTAAGGGGGATAGTGAGGAGGAGAGTGAAGAGGAGAGGGAAGAAGAGGATGAGGAGGAAAGAGAAGCTAGTGTGGTGGACGGAGACAAGGAGAGTGTGGAGGAGAGAGGAGCGAGTGAGGTGGAGGGGAAGCAGGAGGAGTGTGAGGGGCAGGGAGAGAAGGAGAGAGAGGAAAGAGAAGAGATTGGGGAGGAGGGGGAAGAGGAGGGGGAAGAGGAGGGGGAAGTGGGGAGGGAAGAGGGGAGGGGTGGAGAGGGGAAGAAGGGAAGAAGGAATAAAGGGAAGGGTGTAGTGGTGGAGAGGAGGGGTGAGGAGAGTGAGGAGGAAAGGAAAGAGGAGACGGATGGAGTGGAAGAGAAGGGAAGAGAGGGTAAAAAAACGAAGAAAGGAAAGAAGGCGCAGAGGAGAGGTGATGAGAGCGAGGAGAACAGGTTGGAGGAAGAGGAAAGGGAGGCGGGAAGGGAGGAGGAAGTGGAAAGGAGGGAGGGTAGGGAGGAGGAGTCAGAAGAGGGATGGAAGATGGGAAGAAGAAGGCTTAAAGGGGCGAAGAAAGGAAAGAAGGTGCAGAGGAGAGGTGAGGAGAGCAAAGAAGATGATAGGGAGGAGGAGACAGGTGGGAAGAGAGGGAAGAAGAAACAAAGGAATGACGGGTGGAAGAAAGGGAGAAAGGTGAAGAGGGGAGGAGAGCAGAGTGAGGAGGAGAGTGAGGAGGAAAGGGAAGAGGAAAGAGAGGAGGATGTGCAGGAGGAGGAAGAGGAGGAGGAAAGGGAGGAGGAAGAGGAGGAGGAAGAGGAGGAGGAAAGGGAGGAGGAAAAGGAGGAGACTGGTGGAAAGGGGGGGACGAAGGGGAGAGGATTTATTGGGGCGACGACAGGAAAAAGGGTTAAGAGGAGAGGCGAGGAGAGTGAGGAGGAAAGGGAGAAGGAAAGGGAGGAGGGGAGGGAGGATGAAAGGGAGGAGGAAAGGGAGGAGGGGACAGGAGAGGGAAGGAAGACGGGAAGAAGAGTTAAAGGGGCGAAGAAAGGGAGAAAAGTGAAGAGGGGTGAGGAGATTGAGGAGGACAAGGGGGGGAGAACGGGGGAGGAGACGGGAGGAGAGGGAGGAAAGAAGGGACGGAATAAAGAGATGACGAGAGGAAAGAAGGTGAAGAGGAGTGAGGAGAGAGAGGAGAGAGAGGAGGATAGGGAGGAGGATAGGGAGGAGGATAGGGAGGAGGAGACGTGGGGAGAGGGAGGGAAGAAGGGAAGAAGGAATAAAAGGATGAAGGAAGGAGAGAAGGTGACGAGGAGAGGTGAGGAGGGTGAGGAGGGTGAGGGGGAAAGGGAGGGGACGAAAGGTAGAGAGGAGAGGAAGAAAGGAAGTAGGGATACTCGAGTGAAGAATGGAAAGAAAGTCAAGAGTAGGGGAGAGGAGGAGGAAAGGGACGAAGGGACAGAGGTGGTGGGTAGCTTGGGGTTGGAAGAGATACAAGAGCCACAAGAGAGCGACGAGAGGAGAACTGTGGAGAAGAGGGAAGAGAAGAAGAGAAAAAAGAAGAGGAAAGAGGAAAGGAGAAAGGCGGAGAAGAGAAAAGAGGAGGAGACACAAGAGGAAGGGGCCAAGGGAGACGAGCAAGAGGGGATGGAGGAGAATGGAGACATGGAGGGGGATACGGCGGAGATAGCTTGTTGGGAAGTAACGTTGGCACCAAAGAGTGGGGGTAAGAAGACGAAGAAGAAGAAGGCTGCTGCGGCTGCTGCTGCTGCTGCTGCCGCTGCTGCTGCTGCTGCTGCCGCTGCTGCTGCCGCTGCTGCTGCTGCTGAGGCAGAAGCGCCACAGAAGAGCAAGGGTAAGAAAAAGAGGAAAATGGTCGCTGAACCTGAAGTTCCAGATTCTGCTGCTGCTGCTGCTGCTGCTGTTGGTGATGCAGAAGCGGCCTTGACACCACGGAAGAGCAAGGGTAAGAAGAGGAGGAAAGTGGTCGCTGAACCTGAAATTCCAGATTCTCCTGCTGCTGCTGCTTCTCCAGGCCCCTCTGTTGTTGAACCGGCTCAAGCATTAAAAAGCAAGGGTAAGAAGAAGAAGAAGACGACGTCTGCTGCTGAGAATGAGTGTCCTGATTCTGCTGCTTCTGTTGCCCTGAGCCGCTCAGATGCAGAAGCAGCCTCGGCACAGAAGAGCAAGGGTAAGAAGAAGAAGAGGAAAGCCGCTGCTGCTGCTGAGTCCGAAATCGCAAGTTCTTCTGCTGCGGTTGCGCCTGTCTCTGACGCTGACCTGCCTACCTCGGCTGCATCAAAGAGCAAGGGTAAGAAAAGGAAGGAGGTACCTGTGGAGGCTGAGGTTCCGAGTGCTGCTGCTGTTGCTGCTGCTGCGCCTGCCTCTGATGCCAATATGCCTCCCTCGGCTGCACCAAAGAGCAAGGGTAAGAAGAGGAAGAAGGTTGCTGAGCCTGTGATTCCGGGTGCTGCTGCTGCTGCTGTTGCTGCTGCTGCTGCTGTCGCTCCAAGCTTTGATTCTGAAAGTCCAGGGGGAGAGGAGAAGGCAGAAAAGGACAGGAGAAAGAAGAGGAGGAAAATAGCTGCTGAGCCTGAACTTCCAAATTCCGCTGCCGAGCCTGATCACTCAGATTTTCCTGCCGAGCCTGAACACCCTGATCCTGCTGCCGAGCCTGAACTCCCAGACCTTCCTGCCGAGCCTGAACTCCCAGATTCGGCTGCCGAGCCTGACCTCCCAGATTTGGCTGCCGAGCCTGACCTCCCAGATTTGGCTGCCGAGCCTGGCCTCCCAGATTCTGCTGCTGCTGCGGCCCTTCCAGTGGCTTCCGTCCCCCCTGTTTCTTCGTTGCAGCAAGGAACAGCTGCTGCACAGAGTGGGGGCCAGCAAGGCACAGCTGCTGCAGAGAGTGGGGAGCAGCAAGGCACAGCTGCTGCACAGAGTGGGGAGCAGCAAGGCACAGCTGCTGCAGAGAGTGGAAAGGAGGCACAACATGCCGTTCCAGAGAGTGGAAAAGAGGCACAACATGCCGTTCCAGAGAGTGGAAAAGAGGCACAACATGCCGTTCCAGAGAGTGGAAAAGAGGCACAACATGCCGTTCCAGAGAGTGGAAAAGAGGCACAACATGCCGTTCCAGAGAGTGGAAAAGAGGCACAACATGCCGTTCCAGAGAGTGGAAAAGAGGCACAACATGCCGTTCCAGAGAGTGGAAAAGAGGCACAACATGCCGTTCCAGAGAGTGGAAAAGAGGCACAACATGCCGTTCCAGAGAGTGGAAAAGAGGCACAACATGCCGTTCCAGAGAGTGGAAAAGAGGCACAACATGCCGTTCCAGAGAGTGGAAAAGAGGCACAACATGCCGTTCCAGAGAGTGGAAAAGAGGCACAACATGCCGTTCAAGAGAGTGGAAAAGAGGCACAACATGCCGTTCCAGAGAGTGGAAAAGAGGCACAACATGCCGTTCCAGAGAGTGGGGGGCAGCAGGGCACCACTGGAGCAGAGGATACGGGGCTGCCAGTCAAAGCAGCCTCAGAGGGCGAAGGGCTGCCGGACAGCTTTGATGTGCGAACTGGGCAGCAGCCGGACATCGCAGCTACACAGGCCGGGCAGCAGAAAGTCGGTGCAGGTGCAGAGGGCGGGGAGCAGATAGTCATTGCAGCTGCAGAGGGCGGGGAGCAGCAGAGAAGCAGTGCTGCACGGAGTGAGGAGCAGCAAGGGCAGGAGAGGATTGCTTCAGGAAGCACAGAGCAGCAGCAGCAGCCAACCCCCCTCCTGCAGAATGGACTGCCCGTGCAGCAGATCGAGCAGCAGCAGCAGCAGCAGCAGCGGCAGCAGCAGCAGCAGCAGCAGCAGCAGCAGCAGCAGCAGCAGCAGCAGAGCGGGCAGCAGCAGCGGCAGCAGCAAGGCTCCGTTGGTGCGCAGAGCACACAGCAGTGTGGGGGCAATCAGGGGAGCACCACTGCACAGATCGCATGGCCAAAGAAGAAGTCGTTCCTAGACTTTGTGAGAAGGCTCAAGGTGTCACATGTCGAGCCGGCAGAGCCTGGAATCAGACAGGATGGTGGGGGAAAGGATGGGGAGGGGGGAGGAGAGAGGAAGGACGGGGATTGGGGAAAGGGGGAGAGAGAGGATGGGAAGGGAGGGGATGGCAGCGGTGGGATGGTCAAGGAAGGGAATGTGGTAGAAGTAACCGTGGGTGGCGGATTTGGAGAAGGTAAACATGGGGGAGGTCGACTTGTGGCAGGTACATCTGGGGGAATCGCCAGTGTGCTGCTAGCCACACAGCCTTGGTCAGTTGAAGGCACTTCTGGGGAAGGCAGGCTCGGAGAAGCCAGGCTCGGGGAAGGCAGGCTGGGGGGCGGTAGACCTGGGGAAGGCAGGCCTGGGCAACATATCGGTAGTTGGACCACAAAACCCCGTGTTGCCGGCCGCTATTTTGTCGAAGCAGGGGATGATGATGATGATCCGCAGGGGGGCGGCAGGTATGCGAGCACAATCGTGGATGGGGTGGATATCTCCAACCTGTCCAAAAGGGAGCGCAAGAGATGGAGGCAAAACGCAAGGCGGAGAGAGACGAGGCGCCTGGAACAGATGGCTCAGGCTGCTGCTGCTGCTGCTGCTGCTGCATGCGGCGCTTCCTTGGGAGCAGGCGGGGCAACCCCTCCTGCTGCTGCTCAGGCAGTAGACGGGGCGTTTCCGAGTGGGGAAAAGGAAAAGGAGCAGCCGCAGCCGCAGCAGCAGCAGCAGCAGCCGCACGGGGCGCCCCCTGCTTCTCTTGCCACGGACGAGGCATCATCGCGCAATGTACCTCCTGCTGCTGCTTCTCCGGCAGCAAATGGGGCGTTAGCAACTGCCCCTGATGCTGCTGCTGCGTTCGGAACACTTCGAAACATCCCTCCTGCTGCTTTTGGACCTTCTCCCTCTGTCTCACCCGCTGCTTCTTTCGGACCACCTCAAGATGTCCCCGCCCGTCCTCCTCCTGCGTCTGGGGCATCTCTCACTGCTCCTGCACCTCCTACTGTAGAGGACTCAACGAATGGGTCTGTGTCTGTTGCAGCAGCGCAAAGCGCCTCCTCTAGGCCGTCTCTCACTGCCCCCCCTCCTGCTTCTGTGCCTATAGGGGCTGCTGAGAGCGCTCCCCAGCACGTCCCTGTAGCTCCCCAGTACAATCCTCCTGCTACATCTCCGCATGTCTCTGTGCCTAAAGCAGCCGCTCGGTTCGGTGCATTCCGTCACGTTTCTCAGTTCCATCGTTTTGGGGCGTCTTACCCTGCCTCTCGCCCCAACCCTTTCGGGGCATCGCACCCTGCTCCTCTGCCCAGTCCTTTTGGTTCGTCTCGACCTGGCACTGTGCCTAGAGTTCCTGCCGCCCTGGCTGTGCCACCTGCTGCTCCAGTGCTGAAGCTGTTTTTCGACGAGGGTGACGAGGAGGAGGACAAGGAGGAGGACGAGGAGGAGTAGGGGTAGTGGTTGCGATGGCAACTGTGGCAGTGCAGCGGCAGCAGTAGCAGTGCTTGCCGCTCTGTGCCTGTTGCTCCTGTGCTGAAGCTGTTCTTCGACGAGGATGATGTGGAGGAGGGCGAGGAGTAGTGGTAGGGGTAGGCTGTTGTGGCAGTAGTAGCACTGCAGCGGCAGCAGTAGTAGTGCTTGCCGCTCTGCGCCTGTTGCTCCTGTGCTGAAACTGTTCTTCGATGAGGGTGATGCGGAGGAGGGCGAGGAGTAGTGGCACTATGTTTTGCCATGCAGCAGAAGCAGCAGCAGCAGTGGCTTCAGTGGCAGCAGCAGTAGCAGCAGTGGCTTCAGCGGCAGCAGTGGCTGCAGTGGCAGTGCCTGCCGCTCTGCCCAAAGCTGCTGTGCCTGCTGCTCTGCCCAAAGCTGCTGTGCCTGCTGCTCTGCCCAAAGTTGCTGTGCCTGCTGCTCCTGTGCTGAAGGTGTTTTTTGACGAGGGTGACGAGGCAACGGCAGTAGGAAGTCTATGAGGCGATGACAGAGGACAGGGTGTTCTCAAACAGGTGAGCTGCCTGTCGTCGTTCGTAATTTTCCTCCTCCGATTTTTTGGACTCTATGCTCCTGCTTCCTCCTCCCCTCTCCCCTCCCATTTCATCGCGCCAGTTCTCTTATGTCTACTTCTCCACGGCCTTATATTTTTCTGGTCCACTTCATGTAATTTGATAGTGTAGTGACTCTCCCACCTGAATCCGATTTGTTGTCTTGTCGTGCAGATAAAATCTTATTCCAACATTTCCGTGTGGCGCCCGCATTGGGTTTGCTAGGTAGTTTTAGTTTTCCTCACCAGTCAGAAAGAGATTGACATTAAACGATCATATTAGATTGTTACTGTTACCTGAAACGCAATTTCGATATACCTCCCTCACCGTCACCGACACTCTCGTGGGGGTTGTCGGTGGGCCTACGGTTTCTCAGCAGCACTCCTGACAGTCGCAGTTACAACACAGCACCATCCAATCAAGGGAATTTAAATTCCCACCCCCATTCCTCTCCTCAACCCCCTCCCCCACCACCCAGTCAGCAAAAGGCGACGGTTTTTTCTCCCAGCACTCTGTTTCGCAGTTTCACTTCTCGGTTTCACTCGGTTTCACTCTTCCCTTGCAATAGCGCGGATTTCTTTGTGCAGTTCCTGCTTCCTTTTGCTTTCTCCCTCCCCTTCCGAACCGTAGGTTTTCACTATCCAACCGCAGAATACTGCTCTTTTATCCCTCGGAATCAAAGGGCACCTTACCCAACCGCAATCAGCAGTACCCTTCGAGCACGCCCTTGAGGGCGTGGACCCCTCCCTGATCTTACCTGCGCTGGTCGGTTGGCGGTGGCGGCGGCCATATCCTACCAGCCGAGCCACTCCAGTCCACTCTAGTCAAATCCAGCTACGCCCCTCCCTTCCCTTCCTCCTCCCCTCCCCCTCCCTCCCAAGATCCTTCCTCCTTGTGTCCTTCCCCAAACCGCCCTCGCCGCGCTGTCCTTTGTCAATTACCAAAACCACGATTTCTAGGCATTATTCCACGAATTAGGAGTGACGCGGCTGGGGACGCGGCTTTATTCTACACGCGCCGCGTTGGCTCGGCTCGGCTCGGCTCGGCCCCCGCTTCCCGTGCGCGCTCACCGCCCTTTCTTGCCCCAGCATCCTACCCAACCCCACACATTCTACCCTTTCCCTTCTGCTTCACAACCGAACAAGGGGTCCTCGGCTCTCTAATCGTCCCTCCTGTGATCTTCTAGACCAGTGGCCGTACAATTGAGTACGTCTGACCAACAGGAGCAGCGACGGTACAGTTAATGCGTTGCCTCCGTCCGACTCGGAGTGCAGGGGAATATCAGCATGCTGTATTGACTTCGCCTCAAAGCCAGACTCAGAAAAGCAATGGTTCGTGTTCGACTCTTTGATCCAGCGAGCGCCTTTCGAGCTCCACCCCGATTAGCGTGGAAAAGGGAAGGGGAGATATGAGGAGGTGTGGCCGTCCTGTTGTCAGCAGCTACGATAGTATGTTTATAAGTAGACTCAACAACAGACTTCCGTTTGTAGTTGCAGGAGTAAACTTTTGAGTTCCGACTCAAAAGCGGCTACGACATCGACTCAACAACAGCCTTCTGTTGGTAGTTCGTGGAGTAAATTGACAGTGGGACTACTGTGTAAATTGACATCTACTACGACTTCTAAGAGCTCGTTTCGCTGATAGCGAACCTCTGCTTACTAGTGATATTGACTTAAAAAACCTCTCCGGTGGAAACGCCATTACTAGCACCGTAGCACGAAGGACACGTCGCACCGTAGCACGAAGCACCGTTTCACGATGCCGCATGCTCCGCGAAACGTTGACGCGTCTTTATTCGCGACCTCCGTCGCACGTCGAGGCGCCATGGGTTCGGGTCTCGGAGGCGCGTGCTCGGCAGAGGAGATTAAGGCGAGGCGCAGAACCCAGCATAGGTCAGATAGCGGTCCGGCTCTATCAGCGGCACTAGAAGACTGTGTAACGCGGCGGCAGCGTAGCCTAGGGTCAGAAAGTAGCAACTACGCGACAGCGTTGAAACCAACGGCTACTACGTCAGCTGCCCACGTGCCGCCTCGGCTCCGGGCGTCGCTGGATGCGGCACGTCCCTCGACTGACGCAGCGCGACTCTCGTTAGAGGGCCTTCCGCTAGAGCCGTCACTAGAAGCACAAGAACAAGAACCTTCGGTACAGTCGCAAGCTGCTGCGTTTGAGTTGAGTCAATGCCGGTCACCAGAGATGGCCTTTGACTCGAGTCAACGGACAGACGAGACGACGAGTCGGTGCAGACACAGAGAGGCACGCTGCTCGTATTCGCATCCACGTCAGCGTCCACGTCAGCAGCATACCCAACAACATCCACGCCAGCATCTACGGCGGCAACCAGGTCAACATCCACGTCAGCAGGAGTCTCACCGCTCACATCACCATCCCCATCGCTCTACTACTCCCAATCATCCTCAAGCATCCCTCCGCTCCCTCCGCTCCCACCTCTCCTTCCCCTCCCCTCCATCCCTCCTCTCCCTCGTCTCCCGCCTTTCCCTCTTCCTCCTCCTCTTCGTGGCCACATCTCTCTCAATCTCCTGCCGGCCCGTCGGTGCCACGCGCCCTGATCCAATAGGGGCGTCGAATGCGGCTCAGGGGCTAATAGGAGCAGTGCAGAGCCCAACGCCAAGTGCGGCGCAGGGGTTGCTGGGGGCAGTGCAGAGCCCAGCGTCGAGTGCGGCTCACGGGCTAATGGGCGCAGTGCACTCCCCGGCTTCAGCTCGAGGGTTGAGTGCGGCTCAGGGGCTAATAGGAGCAGTGCAGAGCCCAACGCCAAGTGCGGCTCACGGGCTAATAGGGGCGGTGCAGAACCCAGCGTCGAATGCGGCTCACGGGCTAATAGGGGCGGTGCAGAACCCAGCGTCGAGTGCGGCTCACGGGCTAATAGGGGCGGTGCAGAACCCAGCGTCGAGTGCGGCTCACGGGCTAATAGGGGCGGTGCAGAACCCAGCGTCGAGTGCGGCTCACGGGCTAATAGGGGCGGTGCAGAGGCCGGCTTCAGTAGGAATGTTGAGTTCGGCTCAAGGGGTTTTCAGAGCGGTGCAGAGGCCGACTGCAGTGGGAGCGGCGAGCGCGGCTCACGCGCTTACGCTGCTGCCTTTGTCGTGCTTCGTGGCTCGCCTGGTGGGTGCATGGGCATGGTGGGTGCACGGGCATGGTGGGTGCATGTGTAACGTCTGCGGACGGAAATTACCCTAGAGATTGTAAACGCATTTCACTGCGCCTCTGGGTAACCTCGTTTTGACCCAGTGGGTAGCGAGGCGATACAGCATCGGCAGTGGTGGGTGCATGGGCATGGTGGGTGCATGGGCATGGTGGGTGCATGGGCATGGTGGGTGCATGGGGGGTGCATGGTGGGGGTGGATACATGGCATGGCAGGGTACCGTCATCAACAGCCTGAACTTCCGCACTTTTTTGCAGGGTGGTTTTGAGAATTCCCCAAAAACTCGCTGCAAAATCATGAGATTTCACCACGAGTTTCCCCCCTCTCTCGCCCTCTCCCCCCTCTCCCCCCTCTCCCCCCTCTCCCCCCTCTCCCCCCTCTCCCCCCTCTCCCCCCTCTCCCCCCTCTTTCACCCCCTCACCCTCTTACCCTCTCTCCCCCTCTTCTCCTTCAACAATCCTCTCAGCCTCGCGCCAGTCTCCCTGCTCGTCGTCTTGCTTCCCAACGCCCCCTTCACCGCCCTCCCTTCCCCTCATCTCCCCACACCCCATCCCCCCACCTACCCCCCTCTCCCCCTCTCCCCCTCTCCCCCTCTCCCCCTCTCCCCCTCTCCCCCTCTCACCAGAAGTGCGACTTCTCTTTCAACAACAGACTCAGCCTCGTGCCTCTCGCCCTGCTCCACTGGGCTCGATCATCCGACCTGACCCCCTTCTTCCCCCACTCCCACTCCCACCACTGACACACCCCCCAACTCCCCCCCCTCTCCCCCCCCTCTCCTTCTCTCACCAGAAGTGTGACTTCGCCTTCAACAATTCTCTCGGCCTCGTGCCACTCGCCCTGCTCGTCTCCATGGTACCCAACGTCCCGTTCACCCAGGGCGTGCTGCACACGTATGTAATAAGGTCCTCTACCCCCTACACCATACCATACCATACCATACCATACCATACCACATGTGTGGCGTGCTGCTACTAATGTCAGCCCCCCCCTACCTGCTCGTCTCCATGGTTCTCAACGTCCCGCTCACCCAAGGCGTGCTGCACACGTACGTATTAGTGTCATTTACCACGCCTCACCACGTCACACCACGCCATACCACGCCATACCACGCCATACCACGCCACACCACGCCACACCACGCCATACCACGCCACTCCACGCCATACCACGCCACACCACGCCATACCACGCCACACCACGCCACACCACGCCATACCACGCCACTCCACGCCATACCACGCCACACCACGCCACACCACGCCACACCACGCCACACTATCTCACACCACAGAGCACCATGCTTCCCAACGTCCCGTTCACTCACGGCTTCCTGGCACTCTCGCATGTCCTCTGCCCAATGTTGCTCATGCACATAGCAGCGTCCGTTGCTGTTCTTGTTGTCGTACCCCGCCTACTTGCTTGCTGCCAGGCACCCATCCCTCCCCTCCCATCCCTCCCGCCCCTCGCTTCCCGCCCCTCGCTTCCCACTCCTCGCTTCCAATGCCGTCCCATCCCTACTAGCCGTCCATTGCTTCTCCCCCTGCAGCAGGAAAGAGGCGCCGAGGCTAGCAGGGAAGCTGAAGGCACTTTCTCGGTAGTCATCCCTCCCTCTCTTCCTGTACCTTCCCATCCCTCTCCCCCATCCCATCCCTCCCATCCCTATCCCTCCCTCCCTCTCCCCCGTCCCATCCCCCCCTTCCCTCCCTCTTATCCCTCTTCCCCTGCAGCAGGAAAGGGGCGCCAGTGCTAGCAGGCAAGCTAAAACCAGACTGCAAAGCCGTCAACTTCCTTAATGTGAGTTGAGTCTAAACGAAAATGCAAACACAAGGGTATGAGCGCCGGTGCTAGCAGGCAGGCTGAAACCAGGCTGCAAAGCCGTCAGCTTCATTAATGTGAGCCAAGGCGAGCGGCTTTTGGGTCTCTAGGTCTTTGTGAGTCGTCTCTCATACCTGGACTTGCTTAGAAATGGGCGTGGTGCTTGCAGGCAAGCTGAAACCAGACTGCAAAGCCGTCAGCTTCCTTAATGTGAGCGGAGCGGCTTTTGGTGTAGCCCCCTTGTAGTCGAGTTCTGTAGTGGGGTTCTTCTCACATCCTAAGTCCAGGCCTCTTCGGACCTTTTTATGAAAGAGGCGACCTTTGAGTCGACCCAAGAGGCCCCTTGGAGTCGAGTTGTGCACTGGGATTCTTCTCTTTTTTAGTCGACTAAAAAATAGACTCATTACACATGGGTTCTTCTCTCTCACATCCTAAGTCCAGGCCTCTTTGGACCTACTTATGAAAGGGGCGCCAGTGTGAGAAGGGAAGCTGAGGCCAGACTGCAAAGCCGTCAGCTTCCTTACTCCGCCTTCTGGTGAATCTCCACACTGGAGTGTCTAGTAGTGTCTATGTGCCCATATGGGACACGGCTATGTCTCCTCCTTCATTAATGCGCCCCTTTCAGCGCATTTTTGAGGCGCCTCAAAAATTCAGCGCATGTCCACACCAGGTGATATGAGTCTAGTTTTGGCATGGCATGGCATGGCATGGCATAGCATGGCATGGCATGGCATGGCATGGCCTCAAAACTAGACTCCTATCAGTGCATGTCCACACCGGAGTCGTAGATGGGTTACAGGTGGGCTGTGTGAGGAGTCTATTTTTTATGGATTACAGGTGGGCTGCGTGAGGAGTCTATTTTGTAGGCGCCTAGAAAACAGTCGTGGATGGATTACAGGTGGGCTGCGGATGCCTTATTTCCATCAAGTCTGGACGCCCCTTTCACTGCATGTCCACACCGGAGTGTCTTGGCCCCTCTCCTCTCCTCTCCCCTCCTCTCCTCTCCTCTCCTCTCCTCTCCTCTCCTCTCCTTTCCTCTCCCCTCCTCTCCTCTCCTCTCCTCTCCTCTCCTCTCATCTCCTCTCCTTTCCTCTCCCCTCCTCTCCTCTCCTCTCCTCTCCTCTCCTCTCCTTTCCTCTCCCCTCCTCTCCTCTCCTCTCCTCTCCTCTCCTCTCCTCTCCTCTCCTCTCCTCTCCTCTCCTCTCCTCTCCTCTCCTCTCATCTCCTCTCCTCTCCTCTCCTCTCCTCTCCTCTCCTCTCCTCTCCTCTCCTCTCCTCTCATCTCCTTTCCTCTCCCCTCTCCTCTCCTCTCCTCTCCTCTCCTCTCCTCTCCTCTCCTCTCCTCTCCTCTCCTCTCCTCTCCTCTCCTCTCCTCTCCTCTCCCTCCCCTCCCCTCCCCTCCCCTCCCCTCCCCTCCCCTCCTCTCCTCTCCTCTCCTCTCCTCTCCTCTCCTCTCCTCTCCTCTCCTCTCCCCTCCCCTCCTCTCCTCTCCTCTCCTCTCCTCTCCCCTCCTCTCCCCTCCCCTCCCCTCCCCTCCCCTCCTCTCCTCTCCTCTCCTCTCCTCTCCTCTCCTCTCCCCTCCTCTCCTCTCCCCTCCCCTCCCCTCCCCTCCTCTCCTCTCCCCTCCTCTCCTCTCCTTTCCTCTCCCCTCCTGTCCTGTCCTCTCCTCTCCTCTCCTCTCCTCTCCTCTCCTCTCCTTTCCTCCCCCCTCCTGTCCTCTCCTCTCCTCTCCCCTCCCCTCCCCTCCTCTCCTCTCCCCTCCTCTCCTCTCCTTTCCTCTCACCTCCTGTCCTCTCCTCTCCTCTCCTCTCCTCTCCTCTCCTCTCCTCTCCTTTCCTCCCCCCTCCTCTCCTCTCCTCTCCTCTCCTCTCCTCTCCTTTCCTCTCCCCTCCTCTCCTCTCCTCTCCTCTCCTCTCCTCTCCTCTCCTCTCCTCTCCCCTCCTCTCCTCTCCTCTCCTCTCCTCTCCTCTCCTCTCCTCTCCTCTCCTCTTCTCTCCAACTCAGAAACTCCCAACAAACTGCCGTGCCCTGCCATCCAATCATGCTCTTCCACATTTCTCCCCTCCTCACCTATTGCAGATGAAAATCCGCAAGTGCCCAGCATTCATGGTCGTGCCTCCTTCCTCCAAATTCAACCCAGGGACTCCCAACATACTGCCCTGCCCTGCCATCCGCCTTGCCACAACCACCTACAACCTGAAGCGCTTCCCTGTGAGTGTGAAGTGAATCCCAGTGTGAATCCCAGTTTAGTGTGAATCCCAGTACGAACCCCTTTGTGAATCCCAGTGTGAATCTCAGTGTGAAGTGAATCCCAGTATGAATCCCAGTATGAATCCCTCTGGCACATACAGTGTCATTTTTAGACATACACTCGCATGCAACCAGGCATTTTGCCCTGCCCTGCCATCCGCCTTGCCACCACTGCCCACAACCTGGAGCGCATCCCAGTTAGTATGCGTGATATGAGCGAATCATTGGCACGCACTCAACCAACCATGCACACACTCTCATACAGCCAGCCAGCCAGCCAGCCATACTGCCATGCCCCTCCATACGCCCCCCCACCACCACCTACAACCTGAAACGCATAGTTTTGAGGCTCCTCAAAACCTGAAATGCATTCTTGTGAGTGTGAATCACACACTTGAACAGGCAGGCTGGATGTGTGTGCGCCATGCTGGGCCTGCAGGGCACACTGCAGTGCATTTCTCCCATTCATCTTCCCTGCCCCCTCTTCCTCCTCCTGCTCCCTTCCTTCTCTCTCCCCACCCCCCCACCCCCTCCCCCCACCCTCCCCCTGGTGATCATCAGATCTACAGGGGTGCATTTCTCCCAGGTAACCAGGTTACAGTTGCCAGTACAGTTGCCAGTACAATTCCTTCTCTCTCCCCCACCCCTCCCGTCTTGCTCCTCAGAGCTACAGCGGTGCATCATCGTTTGCTTCATGGTGCATTTTTTTCAAACGATCATCAAGATACGCAGCGGGCCCAAGGGCATGGTGTGGCTATCCCCTAGAGGTGGCAACATTCGATCTCCCCCCCACCGCACCCCACCCCTCCCACCCCCTCTGCTTGTCAGATCTACAGCGGTGCGTGCTTCACGGTGCATTTCTCTCAATTAACCATCAAGATTGGCAGCGGGCCCAAGGGCATGGTGCGGCTATCCCCGAAAGACGGCAACACCCAGTTCCCTGAGGTCTGTCCTCCCACTCCCTTGTCGTCATTTTTCCCGGTAATTTATTTTTTCCCACCTTCCTTGATGGGCATTTCTCAAAGGCTACCTCCGAAAGAGGGCAACGCCCAGTTCCCTGAGGTTGGTCTGCCCATTCCTCTCCTCGTCGTCCTTTTTCCTTATCTGTTATCTTACCTCTCAAAGACTATCCCCGAACGACGGTAACACCCAATTCCCTGAGGTCAGTCTTCCCACTCTCCTCGGCGTCGTCTAGTTTTGAGGCGCCTCAAAACTAGACTCCTATCACGCGGTTTTTTGGCGCATCAAGGCGTGTCCCGCGCGTACATTTTTTTCTCAATACCCCACTTAACCGTTTCTGATCATTGTTTTAACTTACTGAATCGAAAAGCATCTCTCCCAGCCGCAATCAAACGTACGCGCGGGACACGCCCTAAAAACTAGACTTCTATCACGCGGTTTTTGAGGCGCCTCAAAACTAGACTCCTATCACGCGGTTTTTGAGGTGCCTCAAAACTAGACTTCTATCATGCGGTTTTTGAGGCGCCTCAAAACTAGACTCTTATCACGCGGTTTTTGAGGCGCCTCAAAACTAGACTCCTATCACGCGTTTTTTGAGGCGCCTCAAAACTAGGCAACACCCAGTTTCCTGAGGTCAGTCCTCCCACTCTCCTTGTCGTCATTTTTCCCGGTAATTTATTTTTTCCCACTCTCCCCGTGGTCCTTTTTCTCAGTCTGTTCAGTGTGAAATCATTGTTCTGTTCACTTGCTGCTCTTTCCTGTTTGTCGCCCTCCATTCGTGTGCTCTGCTTTTCTACTTGCTTATGCCCACCATGTTGTCTCGAATGTTCATTCCTCCTCCATGCTTCCTTTGTTACACCCACCTTCGTTATCGCTTTTGATACACCACTGACGAAAAGTTTGTTATCCATTGCTTGTTGCTTTGCCCTTACAATGCCGTGCAGGCTAGAAGATGTCTGGTCTTTCGTACACTATAGATTACTCTATTTTGACATAGTGGTAGCATTAATTACAGTGTGTTCAAGAGTGAAAAATAGACGCAACCTCTTGTTGCGCATAGTAAGTTCAGTTTTTAGATCAATTGTATTTGCGCTTCCTCCGCTTCTTTTGTAAGGCTCGCTGGCTCTTGCTGATCACATACGTATTGTCAACTTACACATATGCTGTATGTAGAAGTTATAGGCTAGCCTAGGTGTGTGCTTCTAATGAGTACAACCTCAACAGGTACATGTCCTAGGTTTCTCACATTAGTCCATTCATTCTCTCTTTCTAACATGGTATCATGAGTAGGTTCGGTTCCTCTCGCCCGCCCACGCTTCCGCCCTAGGCCCTAGCCGCCCTCGTGATACCATGCCCAGCTCACTGCGCTCCCTCCCCCCTTCTGCATGACCCTCTACTTTATCGCCATGCGCCTGCCTGACCGCCTTGCTAGTGCACGCGACCACATCCTTAGCCAGCACCCGGGTGATCTCACCCTGCCAGCCTTTGTCACCGCCCTGACCGAGATCGAGACTCGCCAGCGCACTATCGCTCAGTCGAGCGGTGTGCCGGCAGTCTCTATCTTTCACGGCTGTGCCCCCTCCCAGTGCACGTTTACTGACGTTTCAGCTGCGGTCGCCACTGCGACCCCTCTGACCGAGACTGCAGCTGCGGTACACCCGCAGCAGCGCTCGCGCCGCGCCGGTCGTGGCCGCTAGTGAGGGCGTGGTGGTGGAGCTGGTTGTAGTAGTGGTGGTACCGGGGACAGTGGTTCTACTGAGGGGACTGCCTCAGCTAGTCAGGAGCAGCAGCCGTCGCCCCAGCAGCAAGAGCAGCCGCAACAGCCGTCGCAGCAGCAGTCCCAGCTCCAGCCGTGGGCTCGCCTCCCCCTAGGTTGGCCCGGCACCTCCGTAGGTGGTGGCCGTGGTGGCGGCCCACGCAGCTTGGCGTCCACCGGCAGCTCCGTTGGTGTGACCTGCCAGTACCAGCTTCAGACCGGGCCTCTCCGCGGCACTCTGTGCCGCCGCCCGCACCCGATCGCCCACTGTTTCCGCCGCCTCGACAATCTCTTTCGTCATCGCTTTGGCCTGGCCCCGGACCTCCCCGACTGGCACAGCCTGCTTCGCCAGGGCGTGCCGATCTTTGATTTAGATATGGATCAGATATGTGCTGCTTTGCATGCCTTGTATGCTGACGCTTCTAGTGTTGCTGGATCTTATTACCCTGTGTACTCTAGTTTAGGCATAGCACCCTTGTGTAGCTTAGCCTCCCCTGCTGCGTCAGGCGTAGGACTACCTAGTTTGCCTAGCCTAGTTTCTGCACCAGCTCCGTTCCCGGCCTCCGCTACTGCCTCGCTGTCCTTCACTCTCGACTCCGGTGCTTCTGCCTGTTTCTTCCGCGACCGCTCCACGCTCCCGCCGCTTGCTGCACCTGCTGTTGTCGCTTTCGCTGACCCCTCCGCGGGTCCTGTCGTCGCTCGCAGCTCCACTTCCCTTCCATGTCCAGCCGTTCCCTCGGGCTCTCTTACAGGCCTCTACGTTCCCTCGTTCTCCAGGAACCTGGTTGGTGTCGGCCATCTTCAGGACCTCGGCGTCACCACTACGTTCCCTGGGCACGAGCGGTTCGCTGTCTGTACCGAAGCAGTCTTAGGTTCCCCCCTTGCGACGTTCCCCCGGGACCCGGTGTCCTGTCTGTTTACCCTCGACACCGCTTCCCCCCCGGTTGGTGCGTCCTCCCAGGTCGCCGCAGCTTGCTTGTGTCGGTCCCTCATACACCCGTCCCTTCTGTGGCACCACCGCTTAGGTCACCCTGCTCTCCCCTGCATGCGTCACATGTCTCAGCACGGTCTTGTCTTAGGCCTTTCCGAGTCGCTCCCCGCACTTCCCCCCTCGACTGCGCCACCGTGCACGCCTTGCGTCGAGGGCCGGCTCCGCCGTGCCCCTCACTCCTCCTCGCTTCGCCCTGCTACTGCTCCCCTTCAGACCCTGCACCTGGACGTTTGGGGCCCAGCCCCCGTCCCCGGACCGCGCGGTGAGCGCTACTTTTTTGTGCTCGTCGACGACTACACGCGCTACAGTACGGTGTTTCCCCTGGAGCGGAAGGCCGACGTGCCCGACGTTCTTCTCCCGTGGGTTGTGGCCGCGCGTTTTCACCGCGGTCTCCCCGTGTTGTGTCTCCACTCTGACCGTGGCGGCGAGTTCGCTTCTGGCCGGCTTGGACAGTTCTGTCGTGCGGAGGGCATCACCCAGTCGTACACCTTGCCGGACTCGCCACAGCAGAATGGGGTTGCTGAGCGCCGCATCGGCTTGGTCATGGAGGTTGCTCGTACCTCCATGATTCATGCCGATGCCCCCCATTTTCTACGGCCGTTCGCTGTCCGCTACGCTGCTCACTAGCTTAACCTGTGGCCACGCTCCCAGCAGCCGCGGGTTTCGCCGACCCTCCTTTGGACCGGGTCCCCCGGTGACGCATCTGCGTTCCACGTCCAGGGTTGCCTTGCTCACGTTCGTGCCTCTGGCACGGACAAGCTCACTGCCCGCACTGTCCCCTGTGTCTTCCTCGGTTTCCCCCTGGACTCATCTGACTGGCTGTTATACCACCCGCAGTCTCACCGCTTCCTTCACTCTCGTGACGTCACCTTTGACGAGTCTGTCTCCTTCTACCGTCGCTTCCCTCACCGAGGTCTCCCAGTTCCCCCCCCCTTGTTCCTGGCTCCCTCTCTCCCGGTAGCCCCTGCCCCCCTCCCGCCTTGTCATGCCCCGTTTGGTGTCTCCCATGTCACTCCCCTCCCGTCTGTTGTCCCCGTTGAGGAGTCTGCTGACTTTGGTGGACCCCCCGGCTCTTCCTTGCCACGTCCCCCTTCCCCGGTGTCTCCGCCTCCGCTGTCGCAGCCGCCGCCACCGCCGCCGCCGTCGCAGCCGCCGCCGCCGTCGCCGCCACTACCGCTCTTGGCCTCTGGGGGTGCTGGCGTTGAGGAGAGTGTTCGTCCTGCGGCCCCTGGCGTGGTCTGTCCCGGCAGGCCTGGGGATGCCGCCGGTGCTGGAGGGGGTTCTTGCTCTGGGGGTGTTGGTTTTGGGAATGCTGTTGTTGAGTGTTCTCCCAACGGCCGTCGTGCCCCTGCCAGTCCGCGGGTCGAGCACCAGCCGCCGCAGCAGCCGCCGCAGCCGTCGCCGCCGATCTCTGCTCTTCAAATGCTCGGCCTTCCCTCCCCTGACCGTTCGCCGGTGTCACCCCCACCACCTTCTCACCTTCTTGTCTCCGGCCCTGTGTTCCCGCCGCCGGACTCGTCTCCGGCCTGTCTTCCTCCTCGTTCCCCTTTTGTGTCCCCTCCGCTGTCTCCTGACCCTACACCTCCGTCCCACGTTTGGTCTCGCCATCCCTCCCGTGCTCGTCCCGTCTCTCTTGTCCTGCGCTCCCACCCTATGTTGCTCCGTTCCCACTCGTCTCGTCCTCCCCTCCTCCCGTCGCCTCCTCCCTCGTCGCTTGTTGTTGCACCTCCTCCGCTGTCTGACTACCTCCGTGCTACTCGTCCCCTTGTCCCTCGGGTTCTTGCCTTTCTTGTTACAGACCTGTCTGTTCCTGTCTCGCGCCTTGACGCGCTTATCGCGGCTGTCGCTGACTTCGCCTCTACCCGCCGCCTTGACTACGCTACCGCTCTGGTCTCTGACCCTGCCCGTCCTCGGTCCGTCAGGGGTGCACCAACCCTTGGCAGTGACGTTCTAGAGGACCAGCAGTATGAGCTTGCTTTCCTTTCCGAGGCCGCTCCCCATCTCTGCTCCATGCTCCTAGTCCCAGAGGGTGACCCAGACGCCTTCGACATCCCGACCCCTCGCACTTACGCTGAGGCCACCTCGGGACCTTGGGCCTCTCAGTGGATACTGTAGCTGCCATGGAGCAGGAGATGGCATCTTGGAGGTCCACCGGCACTTACGTCGACGCAGTTCCCGCTCCTGGGGTGAACGTAGTCGATGGTCGGTGGCTCTTCAAGGTGAAGCGCCCCCCTGGAGAGCCACCTGTCTTCAAGGCGCGCTACGTGGCCAAAGGCTTCAGCCAGCGCGAGGGGGTTGACTTCTTCCAGACCTTCTTCCAGACCTTCGCCCCGACCCCGAAGATGACCACTCTTCGGGCGCTGCTACACGTAGCAGCACAGCGCGACTACGAGCTTCACTCCCTCGACTTCTCTACTGCCTTTCTTCAGGGCAGCCTACACGAGCAGGTCTACCTGCACCGACCACAGGGCTTCACTGGTACCTTCCCCCCTGGGACCCAGTGGCTTCTCAGGCGCCCGGTCTACGGCCTGCGCCAGGCTCCCCGCGAGTGGCACGACACACTGCGTGCCACGCTAGCAGACCTACAGTTCTTTCCGTCCTCTGCTGACCCCTCGCTGTTTGTGCGTTCCGGCCAGACTCCGTTCTACATCCTTGTCTACGTAGACGACCTGGTCTTCGCTACTGCTGACAACAGGGCCATGATTCTCTTGTGTCAGGAGCCTCGACTTGAGGGCAGAGCGAAGCATATCCAGCTGCGGTACTTCCTCCTGTAAGAAATAGAGTTGAAATGATTAATTTGGAAAGGAGCCCAAGGCTCTATAAGTACATGGCAAGGTGAGAGTGAATGGATGAAGAGGGAATTGGAGGGAATCCCTATTGGGATCTCCGGAATCTCCAATTGGGTAATTGGAGATTGGGGGGATCACAATTGGATGAGGTTGGGATTTGTGAGTACACCCCAACCCACTAGAACATTCATAACCTAAACTAGGATATAAAAGTACAAATACAAAAATGGTATTTGCAGTCTATTTCTAACACACCCCCATAGACTGCAAACCCGGTCAAGGAGCACATAGCCTCATGGAACGAAGAAGGCGATGGTGGTCAGCCTTGCCGAGAGCCTTGGTAAAGAGGTCGGTGAGGTTGCAATCTGAGGCGATGTACCGTACCGTCAGCTGGTCACTCTGAACAAGATCTCGGATGAAGAAATGACGAAGTTCGATGTGCTTGGTGCGAGAGTGGAACACAGGATCCTTGGTGAGGTGAATGGCACTCTGGTTGTCACACCACAGGGTGGGCGACTGCTGGGGGTAGCCTAACTCAGCGAGGAGAAAGGAGAGCCAGCGTGCCTCTTGAGCAGCCCGCGTAGAGCTCGGCCTCGCAGGACGACAGGGAGACTGCAGAGGACCGAGTGGAGTGCCAGCTGATGACTCCGATACCAAGGGTGAAGCAGTACCCTTGGGAGGAGCGTCTGTCAGTCTGGTCATCGGCCCATAAGG